ATCAAAAACTAGTTCTTTAAAATAATATTATTAATAAATTATATATTTTTAAACTAGTTCTTGATTAAACTAGTTTATTAAAAAACTTACAGAATATTTATAAAATAGAGAAATTTATTTTCTTTGACCAGTGCGATAAGCTATTTAAAAAGCGTTAGTACGTACTTCGGAAAATCGGCGCCGGTGGTCCGAGGTCCAGGGGGGGCAGTGGGCTCACCTGTAGTCACATCATAAACTACTGAGGGCTCATGTATAATAAAAGGCGCGTAATAGAGGCGGTCGACATACACTGGAAGTATCACAATAATTCCTACATCTTTCATATCAGAACAGCCCTGAATACGGGCTAGTTGCTGTTAGTTCCTGTTACTTTCTCTCGGCCTAGTAACTTGAATCACCAATGAACACACTATATACTGAATTATGCGATGTATATCAATATTCTATAGATTAGCTAATGTTGTTACTTTCAATTAATACATGGACCACAGTATAGCCATAATTCAATGATAACAAAATAGATACCTCCACCTTTCCCCCCAACAGGATCGAAAGCCTGCTTTGTACCAGGTAGGTGGTTTGAAAATGTATAAACAAGGTTTATCCATACTCGATATCAAGTTTCGAGATAACCCATCGATGAGTTGAAAGAAAGGGACGACGAAAAGGGGGCAAAGAGGGGGAGGGGGGAAGGATGAAAATAAAAATAACAAAGAACAAAATCGATGAGACGACTGCTGGTTGCCAAAACACTACTACTGGTCCTTCCTGGCATCTCCTGCAGCCTTGTTCTCCCTCCGTCGTTTAATGGCTTCTGGGCTGTACTCGGTATCCAGAACATAATCCCACCATCTGAAGCTGCTAGAATAGTTACCGACGAATTTCTCGTGGTGAAGATCATGGTGGTCAGCGCCCGCCCAGAATGGCAGGAAATGATGGAGACTCCAAGGGAACTCGTAGCCGCTGTGAGCGTCGATAGCTTGGAACAGCCGCAGTACAATCCAAACGTACATGGTGAAAATGTGGAGGTCACCGGTTACTGCACACCAGAGGATCGGGCAGCCAACAGTACCGAAACCGAGAATCATAACTTCGATCGGAGAAGCATATTCAGCTGCCATGCCAAAGGGGGCCGAATACTGGTGGTGGATCTTGTGAATAGCCTTGTAAAGGGGACCCCAATGAAGTGCTCGGTGCGAGAAGTAGTGCCATGTATCCTCAAGCACAAAGAAGATTGCAATTTGGTAGGCCATTGTCCAAAAGGTGGGGAAAGGAACCGATGTTGAAAGGCCAAAGAATTGAGCCATAGGATGGAATAGCCTGACGGCAATATTGTTAGGTTGAAATCGAAACATTGGAAAAGATACACACCAGATTTGAGGTAGTTCAACTGTAAAATGGCTCAGTAGTACAAATTTTGCGCAATCCCATTGCTCACGCAATGAAGGAATTTTATTCTCCGAACCAGTTAGCAAAATATCTCTCGAGTCGGAAGTGCTATGAACCTACACTTTGGATTTTATAACCCTTGAGTAGGCCCAAGCTGTCTATTAAGATCCAAGGTAGGGAGCGTCCGAAATAGACAATTTCGTGCATAACGAAAGACATAATGCCAGTCGCAAGGACGTCGTTTTGCATCCAAGCATACCATGCTGTCCATAACCTCTCGAGTACATTCAAGTGAGTATTGTATTTGGAAATTTCTTCAAACTGGCCCCAGTAAGTCTCCGGGGGAGCCGACAGTAGCGTCGAATTCCTTTATCGGGTCAGCATAGATATAAAATAACCATTGCAATGATAGAAGCTTACATTGTGTTTACAAACTTGTCCTCAAGGGGCGGCTCGCTCACTTGCAATTATCTTACCAATAAATACCAATGTGTATGGCCTTATTGAGGGGGGGGAAGGAGGGAAAATATAGGAAGGGAAGGATTGTAAAGGAGGCAGCGCTGGTGGGAGACTTCGAAAGGGTTGGAACATGGGAGGGTGTGTGTGGGCGGTATTTCAGGGACAAAGCCGCGCGCGATCAAGGACCTCCAGTCCCGAGGTGGCGAGACCTTTTTTCTGCTGTTCCCCTTACTCTGCCTTGGCTTTTTCTGGCGCCACCGCCTAGCCGATTTGGACCGATGTTGTGCTCCACAAGACGAGTCCCCACTGATGTTGGCTGTTGTCCACTAAGATCATGTTTATTGTTATTCATTCAACGTAAGTACTTTTGCTACTCTAGGCCCATCCATATCTCTTCCCTCTACGGCTCGAAGTTCAGTATCTTGCACTCAGGCTAAAGTAAACACAGGAAATACAATCTTTAGCAGTCTTGTTGACCTCACCTCAGCCTACTACCTATGTCATGCCCAATGCGAAACACCATCAGATGGCAATTACCTATCTATCTCAATTACTCCCTGGTCTGTCAAATCACGGCTCCATGCGGAAGAATCTCTACACTGATGCGCTCAGCCATGGAATAATTCAAATTTACGCATCCCAGAGAACCTAGCGCAGATTAGCGGGAGTCGTTGTCTTCTCTGCAGTGCAAAGTGTATTATTCAATCTGTATACCTCAAAGGAGAAGAAGCCTGGGGAGTTACAAGATTTTGAAGAATGATCACATATCCCACTTGCATCATGGTACACATTTGCAGTGGTGATGCGACTAGATTTTGAGGCTCTACTACCAAGCTAGCCAACAGATTGATAGTAATACACCCTGTTTGTAGAAGAGTGAAACAAGTTTCGAGGCTGAGTATTAATAGTAACCTGGGTTGAACTCAGTGAAACTGTTTAGGCTATTTTATATTAGATACCACCAGTGCAGTGACTGCACTCAATGAGTCCTTCCTACTTGGGTTGTGATGTTTGAGGTAGCCTATATATCTATATACTTTGTACAGATAGTGTGAAAGATAAGATAGGGATGTTACGTACGGAGTACATCTATGGTTATATGGCAAAAAGTATCTCAAACACTCAACAATGTCATGTATGTATTAATATGTTTTTCGAGAGTATTGACAATTGAGGGGGTGGGGAAACTTTAGGGGCCTGCTAAAAGTACAGTCGGTATTATAGTAAATACGACCGAACAGTTTCATATATTAGATACAGAGTACGGAGTACTCCATATATTAAGTCTAATTGGGAAGGGACTGCACTAGCCCAGGTCACGGGTCCATAGGGCGTTGTCACCTTGTTGATCTTATACTGTAGGTTGCTACTCCGTAGATTATTATAGATGTCTGCCCCCTTGATTTTTATATATTAAAATCAGGTACATTAAATACTGTAAACAGTGCCTAAGATATGGAAGCTCCTAGATATGTATATTTGCCAGTTATTGGAGGGCTCTAAACCGTTTTAGGGAAGAAGGCCTAGCCACCTAGGGCTTTAGAGATCGCGAGACCTTGTTGAATAAAATTTCTGGTACATAGATACTCTGTACAAAGTACTCTGTAGTCATTTAGGTGCTAGTCTAAAGACAAAAGTTAATCAAAGTAAAAAATAAACTATGCCAAGAACTGATATTAATTACAGTACTCCATACACAGTTTTTCTTACATATTTAGATAGTGTTTAGGTCAGATTAATGGTGACATAGTGACGCCATTTACAATATTTGAAGTATATATTTTCCCCGGAGAAAGCCTCCTCTTTCCTCTCTAAAGTACGCAGAATCACAATACTAGGGCAGACAATGTCAGTTATTAATAAGTAGGTCAATATATGTATATTGTTTTGGGGCTTATCCATGCTAACAAATTCAAAGTGACATCTGCCGCTTAGATACGCAGCTGGACCAGATAAAGCAGGAAATCAACGACTCATACTTTACCTCACTGGAGATCCATAAACATACGCATGTCTTGGACACCGATTCAGAGCATATATCTGATTTAGAAAATGTTATCAGCTCTCTCTCCGTGCCCTCCAAGTCCCGACCGGTGCTTCCTCCTGAGCATATTGTGGAATTGACTTTGAAGCTCTTCCGTCAACCGGATGAACCATATGGGCTGCTTTCGGCTACGTTCACGGACCGTGAACTAGAACTCACGTGGCTGGCAGTTACGAAAGCTACCGTACAGACTCTAGGGGTGATCTTGAGGTCTCTCCTAGATCGAAGTCTGCTCCTCAGCGATGAAATCTCTTACTGGGACACAATCCTGGGATCGTATTGGCACATCGGTGTTTATACACTTCAAACATCACCTTTCCGGATTTGGCGCATGTTGGTAAAGCCTCGCCCTAGCAGAAATGATAGTGGTGCTAAGGCAAGGTTTCCTACATTTGCCTCAGTCCAATGGTCACATCTCTACGAGTCCATACAGAGATGCTTCTCTGCAGGAAACTTGCATGCTCTACAAGCAAACGTACTGTCACCGTTTGTAGCAGCCAAGTCTGAGATAAGGCGGAAGCGGGAAAGGCTGAATGTAATGAGGGACCTCAATGCCCATGGTATAGGGCTCCTCATGAGAGAGTGTTTCCCTGGTCAAGCAAACGGCGATGATTGTAACTGGGCAAGGTGCATTTCCGCCGATGATTACTGGCGTAAGACGGTATGTAGAAGTGTGATCCTGATGGGGACATTTCTGCAAAAGTTGTCGATTGACAGTGATATTCTTGATTCTGGGGAAGACGTTCTTTCGGCTACTAACAAGGATTTTGCGTGTCTCCAAACAGAGTCTGATGGCAAGCGCTCCATTCGAACACCAGAACTAGTCACCAAGCAACTCCATGATATACTGCTTAGGCTCCTTCCTGCCCACAACACCCTTGCATCAACAACCATTGACAAGCACCGGCGCCCGTCGCGTCTGGTGCGATACTGGCTTCCATTATCGATGCTGTTCCTAACAGCTAGTACATCTTTTAAGGTTCTGAAGAATCATCGCCATCAAATCATCAAATGGGTTGCTAGTGGCGTGGAAACTACATTTGAATTTTGGAGCAATTGGGTTTTTGATCCAATTCAAAGGCTCATTGGAACTATAAGGCATGATGAGAGAAGCGAGATTGCCTTGATGAGCAAGAACAGCTTAGAGGCTGATCGGGCAAGCTTAGAACGAATGGTAGTCGACTTCATCCTTGATCGTGGCGAACCGAAGCCCGATAATTATGTGCTTGATATCAGTTCTATCGCAAACAAGGTTAGGGAGGGAGATCTAACACCAGTACTGAGAGCGTACGAAAAAGATCTACGGACCCCCTTTGTCGGAACTGTACGAGGTGACCTTGTACGAGCACTCTTGATCCAAATCCAGAAGACGAAGGTAGATGTCGAGATCGCAATTGGCGGTATTGACGCTTTGCTGAAAAGCCAGGAACTCGTTTTCGGGTACGTGCTTTCTTCAGTATATTGAGGTAGAATGGGCTGACGCTCGCAGATTCGTTGGCCTCACACCCGGTATACTGGTCTCATACGCATCTCTTCGATGGTTCTGGGGTCTTTTTGACAATAGAAAGGGTCTGAGAATGGGTAGGCGGCAGGATGAATTAAGACATGCACTGCGGTATGTAGTATGTGGTGTAATGTGGGATGTGCTGACCTTGGATAGGAGTGCTCATCGAACTTTGACATCGCCTACCCCTGCGCATACTGGCGTGCTCGCATACAGGGATCATGGTCTTTTGATCTGCGATGCCGAGATTTTGCTTAAGAAAGCAGAAACTCTTCTGAGGGGGGCAGAGCTCCGCGCCTTTAGAGAAGATGTGGCTGACCTCATTAACCAGAGAATGGTTGTGCGGCAGCTTGAAATTGTTGGCAGAATGCGCTGGGTCTACTCGAAATGGATGCAATGATGGAGTTCTGGGGACACAGTAACTACATTGTTGGAGTTGCGCTTTCCCCGGCTAGTCAAGAACCTCAGGCTACTAATTGCTCTCATTTGGAGGGGCGAGGGGACTAGTTATTATTTTTGGGCTAAAGAGCATATTAGGTTGATGATTTTGTGAACCAGGGTATGTATATACGTTTAACATGAAGAATATAACCAAAGCCGAGGCAGATCGCGATTGCTCGGGGGGTCGATTAGCATACAGACCTTTGCAAGTTAAATCAGCACTTTTGGTTGAATGAGATCCTAGCAAGAAGACCTAAAGAGAGTATTGGCTTTGATACTGGCTGTTACTAGTGATATTGGCGCTTAATGGGGGATGGAACGGGAAAAGTGTATGGGATTAGCGCCTGGCCGTCCGTATATATTAGTAAGATCTTCCCTCATGAGGACTCTCTCTAGACCCCTACGTACAAACCAGTAGCTATGCAAATACTGATAGATTATAAAGGTTAGGGCTGAAGTAGATATTCTCATAAATGAGACGGATGTGTGGGGTATGCAGCTTGTATGTACATACGTGTCGTATGTCCCTAGCCAGTTTAATACAGCAAAGTTACAGTGAAAGTACCGATCGCTCCGCCTATACATACACATAATATCGTTGTATCCCTAGCTGCTTACTTTACTCCGTAAACCACTCATCCGCTCATCCACACAGGCACCATTTTGTGCCGCCACCCTCTATCCTTTCTGATGAATGTCAGAACGACCGATGCCTAAGATACCGACCCCAATATTTCAATATTCCAAGGTTGCATCCCCATAAACAGACCGCCTTCTTTACCGGGAGACGTGATCATATTCGCCCGCCCTTTCCCCTGATTCCCCGTATAGCGCCCCCGAGTTCCTTGAGTCCTTTCTAGCCAGCAAGCCTACCTTGCCACCATTCGGTGGCTGCAGCTTTCCTGCAGAAGAATCACTAAAGTGGGAAGAGAATTTAGAGCCCGCACAGATCGATAGGCTTTTCTTTTCTCTCTTTAAGGGGAAAAAAAGAAAGAAAGAAAGAAAGAAAGGAAGAAAGAATAAAGGACAGAAAGAGAAGATACTGTGGTGGTGCCAGAGAGGCTTGAGTTTCTCGGCAATATCACCAGACTTTTGTCAGAAGCTACTGTCGTGAGACTTTTTTGGCGTGTGTGACCGAATCCATCGCTACCTTGTTCTGTTTAGCGCTACCTGCGTCTACTTCATCATGGCTGGTACAAGAAACTATGATTTTTTGGTGAGTTTAGCCGCTCTTTTGGTGTGTAACAGACTAATAGATGGCATTTAGATCAAACTTCTGTTGATCGGAGATTCTGGGGTGGGAAAATCATGTTGTTTGTTACGATTCAGCGAAGATTCATTCACCCCGTCCTTCATCACGACTATTGGAATTGACTTCAAGATCCGTACAATCGAACTTGACGGAAAGCGTGTAAAGCTTCAAATATGGGATACAGCTGGGCAGGAGCGCTTTAGAACGATTACAACGGCTTACTATAGAGGGGCAATGGGCATACTTCTGGTCTATGATGTCACTGATGAAAGATCATTTCAAAGTAAGGGCTTACTCTCCTGATTCTAGGTTGGAATGTTTTGGCTGTGGCACTAACCTTGTTTCCCAGACATTCGCACATGGTTCTCAAACGTCGAGCAGCATGCAAGTGAAGGTGTTCACAAAATTCTCATCGGAAATAAATGTGACTGGGAAGAGAAGAGAGCCGTGTCAACTGAACAGGGCCAGCAGCTAGCTGATGAGCTTGGCATACCCTTCCTTGAAGTGTCAGCAAAGAACAATATCAATATCGAGAAAGCCTTCTACAATCTTGCCTCGGAAATTAAGAAAGGCATGGACACATCTAAATCTGAACAGCCTGGTTCGCAAGGTGTCAGCATAGATCAGCAAGGCCCGGGGCTGAATGGCAATACGGGAGGCAAGTGTTGCTGATGTGCTTGTTAGTACACCCTCCTGCTTTGACCTTTTGTCCACCTTACACACCTACTCCTTTTCTCCCTGAACTCCGGCAAACAGCTATTCTGCCATTGACTCGAATAAGAACAAGCTAGGGCTCTCATGCTCTAATGGACGCTGAGCCTAATCCTTTTGCGGAGCACCCTTCATGTATGTTCATAAATTGCGGCCGTGGGGCAGGCCGCTGTTCTGTTACAGTCGTTCGAAATATGTTTGGTGGCGTTGTTTAATCTTGTGTTACGCTATACTGGGTATTTGTGTTACATGAAGTGACATGAGTGTTGCCATCGAGTATCAGCATAATGCTTCATGTATTTTGATTTGGCAGAAGGTGCAAGAATGCGTGCTGATAATGAAAGCATCCTTTGCTGCGTATAGCTTATTGCCTAACAAATAATGGAGAAAAGAGGGAATAAAGTAGCCGCCAGACCTGCTTCCCTTCAGTTAAGACCGATCATAATGTGACGAGAAGGTTTATGTATAATATACCTTGCAAAGTAATTTGCCTTGTGGTTAATACTGGTTTCGAGAGAACATCTTGAACGAATAACAAAGTCCCAAAATGTAACAGAACATCTATTATCAAAAAATGCATTCCGCTTTCACACGTGGACTGGGTTCATGGGGATCTTCATTTCCAAGTTTTGGAAGCGGCCTCTGATGCCAGACACGAGCGAAACGAGCAGCCTCGAAGGAAGTGAGGAAATTAACGAGCCACATTCGTATGAAATTGGCGGATGACTGATTCAGACTGCCCGTACCCTCAAGATTCATTTTGGATAGCCCCAACACAGTTGTCGGTTCTATTTGGATAACGGCATCTGTTTTTGGTAAAGTCCATCTTTGACCTCTCATAATACCATCTAGCTTAAGAAGCTTCCTGATATGATGCGAGTCCAAAGACGGAAAAGAGAGGTAATCTAACTGCAGTTTCACAGGGAAGAGCTTGTTTCCAGAGGATTCTGATTGGTGCAGTCCTCTGTGAATCCCCATTGTGCGCCGTAACTTGAATTCAAACGGGTATAGCTGCGCTGCTACAGAAACATTACGTAGTGATGAGCCGAGTGCATAGTTAAAGTGCTCGTTATGTTTGACCCTGCCATTTGTGGATGTTTCAGCCAGCATATCCAATACCGTCGTGGCAGTAGGAGCCACCTGCTTAAGATATAGTTCTTGCAACTCTATGACCTTTTCTTGGTATTCCGCGGCATAGGCCGGAGAGGTAAAGATTAGCAGCCAAGAATCGGAGCGTTGCAGCGTTTGACGATTTCGTATAGGTAGGACTGAACTCTTATTAGTCAAAGCAATTCGCACGTTATATCCTCGAATGAATGGATACACCTTCTTCTAGCCCATTGGAGCTATAGTCTTTAGATGCTAGCATCCTACGAAAGTCATACGAAGCCAAAGATTGACTCGCTCCCGAAAGTATGAGTGCTGTTCTATGGCCTCGGCGACTGCGCTCGCTTGATGTTATTTTCAGCTTTCCACGTTCAATGGTAACACCACAGCCCTCTATTCCCATTACAATATCCGCGATGCGTGGCGTACTCGGTGGGTCTGTTCCTGAGGCATCGTGAAGTTTTCCTGATCTCTCAGCCAAGGAATGACTTGTTGTAGACACTCGTGAGCTAAAAAGACATGTGATTTTTTGAGACAGCTTTGATGGCCCCCAAAGTTGTGAAGTTGGTCGACGTGTTGCGGATGTCCGGAAATGCCCCCGGGGGCTATAGAACATACCGATTCGCTTCCGACACAAGGTGGATTTTGATAATGGTTATGCTGATCTAAGCGGTTGGAAAGAGAGGACCGACGTTAGGTAGGGGGGCGGAGCTGAAATTGATCAGATTGATGGTTGCTGTGCAAGATGGTGGATGTTAAGATCATCTTAGAACTCGAGAATCTACTACAGTCACAGGTATTCGAAATTTAGAACATCCAGCGACATACAGACTTTTACACAGGCAGAAAATGCCCATGATAGTAGGCGGTCGTCAGAGTCATACGCTATACCATATTAGGATGTTTTAAATTTCTCTAGGTACTTCTGTGGTTGATTTCGTACCTCAAGTACCCTGCCCGCTGAAAGGTACGGGTCAGTGCGGGGCGGTGATCTAAATCCGCATCCATATGGTAGATAAAAAAAAAAGATGAGGACAAATCTGTGAGCCACTTATCAATTTTTACCTTGCCCTTTCCCCTTAGATATTCGCGCCTAAAATATTCCTCCTAATCTTATTTTCATCCATTCCTCTGCTTTCTTCCCTAACTTCAAAGCAGTTCAACATCGTTGGGTAGCAAAGACGCACTGCAATGCCTGCAGTATAGAGTTTCCAGTCATATCCGCGCCATCAGAATACCTGATACAGATTTCGGCCATTTTTTACATCTTGCAATATTGTATATGATCTGATATTGCGCTTACGGACATTATTTGGTCAGCCCACACGAAATGTCGGAACCCCGCCTCTTCACAGTTCGACCGCTTTCAAAACAAGCGAGAAATGACCATAAAGATGCGTTTCGCGTTTATTTATCGTCGTCATCGTTGGCTGCCCTTAAGCTTCGGGCCGGAGATGCTTGTACCTTGAACTACTCTGGCGAATGTGCGAAGACTGTAATAGCTTGGAGCGCAACCGAAAACATACAAACTACAGTCGTACAGACTTCAAGGACACTCCAGGACTGCTACGGCGTCAAACTTGGTGAGAAGGTGTCTATTTCCAAAATCGATGGGTCTTTGGGAGAGATTGAATCAATCTCTTTTGTGGAATGCTCTGATATCGAACGAATGGCGAGATATGGCCCCCTCCCGCCATCAGAGAGGCACCACTGGGCCTGGGCTTTAGAGTTTCCTCTTGCCAGATGTGATGCTCTCGCTGTCGGATTGATATTTGATTTAGAGCTTAAGGGACAACGAAGGAGCTTTAAAGTAGCAACTATGCGGGCCTTGAATCAAACCACCCATACCACATTATTGCGGTTTACCGAGAATTCTAAAATCTTGATTGGCGATGGTTCAGATGGAGAGAGTGAAGTCCAATGCTTTGATATACAAGTACAGTCATCTGGCCTGGGTGGAATGGGCCGCCAGATTGATAGTATTAATGAGAGCCTGGCTGATTTCAACATGGGCTCAGGGATTGTGGCAATGCCTTCTTTCTATGAGCACACTCGGGGAGTTCTCCTTTACGGACCAAAGGGGACAGGAAAAAGCGCCCTTCTTCGCCAAATACAAGCCGCCGGTTGGCGGAAAGCATTCAATATCGGGTCTTCCACATTCAGCAGGAATATTGGCGATGGCGAAACTAAGCTACGCAATCTGTTTCAAGATGCAATTCGCTGTCAGCCGAGTGTTGTGGTCATCGATCAAGTCGACTTCATTGCTCCTAAACGGACATCGTTGGATTCTCAGTCTTTGACATCTGTTCTTTGTGAATGTTTGGATCTTGCGAGGGGTGCTATGGTTCTTGTTGTGGCTGCAACTCGACATCCAAACGAAGTTGATGATGCTTTGAGGACTCCACATCGATTGGCGACTGAGATCGAACTGCATGTCCCTACAGCCCATGATCGAGCCGAAATCCTGCGCGCTATATGCGGATATAAATCTCCCGTACTGAGTGATAGGCTCATAGATATGATGGCGGAGAAGACTCATGGCTATGTTGGAGCCGACTTGTTTGCTTTACTTCAGCTCGTCTGTCGCAAGGCGCGTCAGAGACAGATCAACAAAGCTGACTCGAATAGTGGGCATTTACACCGAACGTCTATGCTTACCAGCGACTCAAGTGATGACTTAGCCACCAAGGAAACCGTGCCTTTGGAAGTCCAAGAGGCCGACGTATTAACGGCTCTACAGGAAACCCGTCCAACTGCGATGCGGGAAGTATTTCTGGAGACACCGAAAGTGAGATGGTCGGACATTGGTGGGCAGCATGATATCAAACGGCGTCTTCAGAAGGCCGTTGAGAGGCCTTTGAAAGTGAGTATCTCCATTAACGACCCACAAGAATGGAACTGACGACTGTAGCATCCTGAACGAATGAGAAGGCTCAATGTAAACAGTAAGAAAGGCATTCTGCTGTACGGGCCGCCGGGTTGCTCTAAAACCTTAACTGTTAAAGCACTTGCTACGGAAGCAGGCCTGAACTTCATGGCCGTAAAAGGTGCTGAAATTCTAAGCATGTATGTTGGGGAGTCAGAACGGGCCCTACGGGATATTTTTCGAAAGGCACGATCTGCGAGGCCTAGTATTATCTTCTTTGATGAAATCGATGCAATTGCCTCAAAGCGCAGTAGTACGTCCCAAGGGGGTGTCAATGTGCTCACAACTTTATTGAACGAAATGGATGGAATTGAGGAGTTGAAGAGTGTCTTAGTCGTCGCCGCGACAAATAAACCAGAGGTAATTGACCCGGCTTTGATGCGCCCAGGCCGTTTGGACAATATCCTTTACATTGGACCCCCGGACTTTGAGGCGCGGAAAGAGATATTGAATATTTGGTGTCGTAAATCTGTTGTTCATCCTGATGTAAGTTTGGAAGAACTGGCCTGGAAGACTGAAGGCTACTCAGGAGCGGAAATTGTGAGTATCTGCGAGACTGCCGGAGATGCCGCATTGGACGAGGAAGAGGAGACTGGTCAAGCACAAGATATTCGGTGGGGGCACTTCGAAATCGCGCTCAAGCAAGTCAAGAGGCAGATCACAGACAGTGTTATCCAGCAATACGAACAATGGGGGGATTCAATTGATATTTAGATTATGATTACCTCACTAAAGCATGCTTTGGACAGATTGAGTTCATGGGCAATGTTAAGTGCGTGGAAGCAACAAAAACAAAAAAGGGAAGAAGACACAACTGCTATATCACCATTAGCTGATACTGGTTAAGGGGGGTGAGGATTTGTAAATTTAATATTTTTCTGGGCATTGATGGATAAACATCTACTCCGTATCGAAGGACAAATGTCTCGCTGGACCCAACCTCGATTTTCTCACCAAAACTTGACGCCTCTGCAAAGTGGGGAAGTAAGGCCTGGGCCAATTGGAGCTTAATTGTTAGTCTAGCCAGGATCAGCTAGCTTTAGACATCATATCCGTTAGGTTCTCGTAACAATTTACTCTACTCCGTAACATCGACGCTGTTCGAGCTCTTACATACATATGTACTACCCTTCAACGGTTAAACCTGAAACAAACGGGGTTCTTGGCACATTTGTGTGATGCTATGTCTACGATGGTTCGAGGTCGCTCGCCAAACCACTCACCATCACTTGACCCTGATCCCGAGCAAGCTTCAACCCCAATGAGACGCACGATGTCCCCTCGTTCAGAGCCCAGACCCAGGAGCGAGCGAAGCGCATCATTTGATCATGTTCATCGCAACGGTTACCGCTCCAAGAGCCGATCTCGCTCTGTTTCGCGATCAAGGATGCTGTCACGAAGCCGAAGCTGGAGTAGTCGGAGCCGCAGCCGCAGTCGAGGTTCCCGACGGTGTAGAGACAGAAGTTATAGTAGGACTCCTAGCCCTTCAGATAGCCTGCCAAGGAGCTCAAAGGTCTGTTCTATTGTTTACTGTTGCCCTGTCTGCTCCTTTCTGTGAAGCTTACATACCATAGATTGTTGTTGAAAAACTCACAAAGAATGTAACGGAGTCACACCTTCGAGAAATATTTGGGAGCTTCGGGGGAATAGACAGCCTGGATCTCCCTATGAACAAAGCTTGTATGTATGGGCAGATCTCCTTATCACTCCATGGCCGTCTAACGCACGCACTCTTTTAAGTTATGACAAATCGAGGAACAGCATATATACTTTACAACGACCCCGCGGATGCAGAGGCGGCTATTGCACACATGCACGAGGCCCAGCTCGATGGGGCTGTGCTTAATGTTTCTATTGTTCTTCCCCGAAGAGCATTTTCCCGATCACCACCACCCCAGAGCGGCAGGGCAAGCTTCGGCCGTCAAAGGCACAGCCGTGGGCAGCCACCAGACTCTCGTTATTCTCGCCCTTCTCCCTATCCCCCCAGATCGCCTCCCCATCTGAGAAGGTTCGGTCGCACTAGGCCCATGGAAAGACACGATCTTTATCGCCCACGGTCTTTATCTCGATCACGATCGCCACGTCGCTCTCGATCATCGGAACTCAGGTCAGCGTCCCCACCGAGGAGGAGGGGACAGCTGCGCTCTGGCAGCCCGCGACGTGGTAGGCGCCGTAGTCCTAGTTATAGCAGCTATGACTACAGCAGCCACAGTGACAGAAGTAGAAGCCCCAGCAGGAACAGAGGCCCTAGTCGATATGGTCCGCAAAGGAGGTGAATGGCATAGAGCCACAAGACGAGCTTTCCAACTTTCTGCTCACTGGATTCTTTCTCTAGGAGCTCTAGGGGGTTGAGCAAGTATTGGTAACATTGTATTTATGTAATAGTACAAAGAGTCAGTTTAAGGTCTATGTGCGGGGCATAATTAGAGACAATGCCTGCTTTGTTAATCTACATTTTACTCCTTAAAAACTAAAAGAGCGCGATGCAAAGAGGGTAGGTGGTAAATCGAAAATGCGGCATGCTTAGGATGAGTAGCTCTAGAAGAATGCACACCAACCAATATACATCGCGGCGAGGTTCTTTTCATCGGTTGCTTGCACAATCAATTCATCTACATGGCCATCCACCGACAATGGAACAGATTCCCCAGGCAGAAGACCACGGAGTTTATTACGGACATTTTCGAGCACACCTGCAGGCGTCACTGGAACACTAACATGGGTGCGTCGCTTCGTTAAATATTAGCATTGCAGTGACACTTGAAGAATAAATGTGCTTACCTTTACTTTCTTCCCAATGAAGTCTGTTGTTGGATCGTGCAAAAATGTTTCAAGTACAGTCATCAGAGCATCCTCATTTTGCCGGAGCAAACCAAGGCTTATTTCGCACGTCTTCCGGAACGGTCCTGTTCACAGGGTTAACCGTGATGAACTCTGCCAACTACAGACTCGGTCTAAACATACCATTGTACCCATAAGCTCCAAATGCATCCACCATATTCTGAGTGAGACGAAACGGAACTAGTTCGGGTTTGTCGAACGTCAAGCCCTATATCAATTCACTCTTAATGTGGGGCGGAAAGACTAAAGGAATTCAAGTTCTTACCTTGTCAAAAAGGCAATTGAAATCAACATGCAAAATACCGCCAGTGCCCTCCTCGAATAGGATATTTTCGCCATGTCGATCTCCGAGCCTTCGATGAATGTAAGTTAGAAGAGAAGGTATACGTAACGAGTACAGACATACCCTAGAACGTATCCAACCATTGACATGACTGCACAAGACCGAGTATAGCGAAGCCTTGCTGCAAACCATGTTCCAGACTCTGGAAACATCTCAACAAACCACTCATGTAGGACTGGGGGAAACCTATACTTTGTATTAGCCATACTACTTGCAATTGTAGGTCATCTGGGAACATACTTTGGTAGTATTTTGGTGGTAAACAAAGGCAACTTCGAGATCTCGGAACATGCTTCATCGAGATAACGTCCGATTTCTGTGTACTGTGGAAGCGTCAGCTATTCAACCAGATAGAGATGGTAAGAAGTTTCATGATGCCTCCTACATTTGGCGCGATGCCCCTTTCCCTCAGCAGCTTGCTAACAATATCCCTCAATGTTCGGAGATTATCAACCCATTCAATCAGTCCACATTCTTCATTCAATGGTGTAACCGCGTATGTTTTGATATCTTCCTTTAATCAGCCTTTACAACGTCTTCGCAGCTGAGATGGGCTCTTACACATGCGTCGTTTGCTTGATTCAACATCCCTTTTAAGGAGCCTGTTGATCATGTTGTTAAACTCCATGAGGCGCTGGTCTTTGCGGAGATCATCTTTCGGCTTGCAGAGGATATTGTAAATTTTTCCATCCGACCCTCGAACGCTGATCTTCCGTGGTTTCTGAAGCGAGTTCAGGACTTGAGCATCGTTAAGAACAGCTAAATACAGTTAGGCATGCACGTCTCACTCATGTACCACAGGGAGACAAAACATCACAATATACCTTCGATAGTGGTTGGGTCTCTAGGGAAAGCCCTAAATCCCTTGAGGTACTCTGCATCATGGCTTGCCGGTAGAGTTGGAGTCAACAATGCTTGAAATGGCACAACAAGTCGACAAGGCGCAACTTTAGAATCGAACTTCAGATCTTGCTCTAGGTCGATTATGGAGGCCTTTTCGACACGCGCTACGCATAGCTTTAGCATTTCTTCAGAGAACCTTTGCCCCTGGTTGATCATCGCGCGCATATCTGACGGTGTTTCCGTCTTTAACTTCTTGTTTACTTCCTTGTACCTTGTTAGTGCCCAGAACTACTCATTGCATAGGTAACCATACCGTAATTTTTTGAAGACAGTTCATACCCCTGGATGCCCTATCCTTCGAAGACGACTTGACCACAGCAAGCACTATCCATAGCCCTTGTTGAGGAAAGAAATTTACCGCCTTGGCGACTATCTTCGTTAACAGGTCATAGACGGTGGTATTCGGGTGGCAGATTCTTGCAACCACCTGAGGAAGAATTGTGAACAGCTGAGAATATTAGTAATTTTCTGAGAGTACTAAACCATTAGAAAGTGCTCACCAGTGCAGCGGGCATTCGGTTGACGTATTTTTTTAGTTGTGAATGCATATCATCCAGAATTTTTCTTCTTTGATTTAAGGTATGTGTTTGAAAGTCTCTGTGTCACATTTTATTTAGCAGCTCTTCGCCAACCGAATAAAATCTGACCCTGAATGAATCAGAGTAGATTGTAGGACAAATGCTTCACGTACTCATTATTCCCCCTCTTTGGATCAAACGGCTGATCAACTGTAGACGCATGTTCCAGCCAAAGTGTGAGAACTTTGGGTAATGACTGGAAAACATATTTATTCCCATGTGCTAGAGACCGGAGATAATTGTCAATCACCAATTTAGAAGCCTCACCACTTAAACTAGGAATAGTTAGTATATAATAAAAAAGTCAGACGAGACATGGGAGAGCAAAGGGACTCACTATATCTGTGCTTCTTTCCCTAGTGGCTTGGCCTTCTCCAAATCTAAAATCTTGTTATAGTGCTTTCCCAGGTAATAATGGGCCTTTTCCCACCTGATACTAGTTAGTACGAGGCAGCCTTAGGAAAAATTGTGCGAGTACCTCGAATGTAGGTAGATGGCCTCTCGGTACCTCTGTACTATGACATCTGACTGCGTCTGCCCGGCCCTGTCTGTCCATTTCGCTAACAAAAGATGAGCCTGAGCCCCTTATATTAGTTATGACATTCCACAATTTAAAAGAGGTCCAGACATTACCCTGGCGGCAAGTAGATTTTGGTGTCTTTCATGATTCGAGACCAGATAGACAGAATCAGGGCCATCCGACGTATTGTCTGCAGCAAATTCATTGGCAGCTATTGCTCCTTCTAATGTTTGTATTGCTTTACGATGGTAACCATCCTTCCACAGAAGTCTAGCATGCTCAATAGTGGCTGATCTATTCTTCAAACGAGCTGCATGAAGCATCGACTGATACGCTTGGTTAGTGAAATTGCCCTTGCGCAAAAGGCGAGTACTGGCAAGCCAGGCATCAGCTATGTCTGAATTGGGGAAGTTGCACCTTGTATATGCGTTAGTATTAGGCTTAACCCATTCAGTAAAAATATGTCAAGAGCAACATACGTCAGTTCCATCATAGCTCGCCTTAGACCAAGAAGGTATTGTTTGTCAGATATATGCCCTCCTAGAATGTCTAAACGGCGGCTCAAAGCAGCGCGGATTTTGGGAAGTGTATCCTTCTCACTTCGTGGGTCCAAGCCAGCTATAGATTCCATCTCTGCTAAGGCGTGCAGCTTAAGGATGCTGTCATGACACGACTGCAAAGATGCCACGGAATTGGCATTGAGAGACTTCGCAACACTGAGTCGCAGCCCACTAATAATACCCTCGAATCTATTATTATTGCCCTGACGAATGGCATCAAGTGCCAAACCGACCCCGATGTTGAAATCTCCTATTCCTTGTTGTGAGCAAAGCCGAAGGTAACTGCGCAATTTCTCCCATTTTCCTGTGATCCAAGATGCCTCGATTGCAAACGGGACAAACCTAGAGCCTGCGTCGGTGGTTTGGAGGATCTCAAATCGTGTAAGAATGGCATCTGTGTTGGGGTTAGCAAACTGCTGAGTTAATAATATTTCGTCAAAGGAAATACCTTGTTGTCCTGATTCTTTAAGACATGTAAGAAGGTTCCACTGGGCATCGACATTGTTGGGCTCCTTCTCGAGTTGTAGCTCATACCAACTTTGTGCTGTAGCCCATCTCCCGGCCTTCCGATGTTCAAGAACCTGTTGGTCAATGTTGAGTGCGTGCAGGTGATTTGATATGCCCTCAATGCCGTCTGGCTCATCAATTTGACTGTAGATATCTTGGAGACGCTGAAAAAGAGGTTCGATATCCTTAGAGTCTGTCTGTTTGTTCCTAGACTGACGAATATATTGCTCCCAATGAAAAAGTGCTCTTGAGAATGATCTACACTCAACAGCCCTTTTGGAAATGACCTCGGGCGGTATAGAAGCTAGCAGGGATTCAACAGCCTTGACTTGGGATGCATCTGTATCCAAACGTGAATCCGGGCACGCCTTCCTGTGAGAGCGGCTTGCGTGATAGTTATGACTCCTAAGACTATTGAGCTGCTTCTTCTTCCCTTGTAGCCATCTCGAAAGGTAGTCGAGGATTTCGAAAATGCTCTATACCCAAAGCGAGAGGAAGTTAATTCAGTGCCTATGGACCTCTCCGATGTTCCGTACAAAGCACTTACCTGGCTGCACAATAGAATAGCTTCATATATATGGTTAGTGGACTCTGGAAGTGGGTGAGATAGAACGCTTGTCAGTTCGTGAAGCAAATCTTCCTTTTCTTTTTGGGTGCCTCCAACTATACGGTTCAGCACTGCAAATGGCAGAAGAAAGGATGCTATAGATATGTCCTGGCCTTTTACAATGCGACTAGATACACTGAACACAAGCCTCGCATTGTCACCACTCCCCTTCTGTAGCAGATCCTGCACAAAGATCCGTAGCCACTCACCATGCGTTAGAGTAGCCGAGAATAATGGGTAAGTGCAGCTTGAATTAACAGCGCCAACGGTGACCGTATACTTGGACGTAAGAAAGGGGGTCAGAGTGTTGCGAACCGTCTCAGGAAGCTCTGACCAACGTTCATACTTTTTATCTGCCTGGACATCGCGAGAGCGCTGGGTAACAGCTGAATCAAGACCACAGAATCTGAGTAAATTTTGCATAGCGTAGGCAAGAAATCCCTGGGCCCTAGTATTAGACGCCGACAAAAACGCATCGACAAGCACGTGTTGGAGAAAAAAAAGTATGAAGTCAAATGTCTCTTCCATGCTATCGAAGTTTGATAAGACCAGTATATCTTTCTTTTCTTTGATCGAATCAACCCGATTTGGATCCATACAGCCGATAAGGCCTATGCACCGAGCTGATAGAAGAGTTATGACATCCGAACTTGTGTTGAACTTTACACAGCAATCAAGCAAGGACCGGATTAACTGAGCAACAACTGGGTCTGGTTGTTCGCCAAGAACAGTGCGATGAAGGAACTCATCGTGCTCTAAGAGGTACGGCACTAGCTCGGTTAGAGCTTGGTCGACGACAGTAGCGTTTTCACTTTGACAACGTCGGACAAATGCCAAGAACTGGCTTCGAACGTCCATTTTCCTCTTCAAATCCACAAGCTCGGATTCGAATTTGGACATCTCTGGAATGGATGCGAGGGATGGCATGGTGTTGTACACATCTTGCACTAGTTCATTGTGATTTCTCAAAATGTTCTCGACAAGTTCATAGGCACATTTTCTCGTATCCTCTGTGAACATGCCCCAATATCTGATCACAATTGACAGGGTCTGGTCAAGAAGTGGTTCAATATCTTCGTCGTGCAGAGAGTTGACCAGTATTGCCCAGACTGTAAAGGCATTGTTGCACAAGTCTCCGATTTCGAGGGCGGATCGCAGGCAGGCACAAATCTTCAAATATTAGCATTTATATTGCATTGAAAGACCGTAGTGAGAATTCCTAATATACTAACCTGGGGTATTGCGCTAACCACATGTCCTTTCGCGACTTTGACCATCTCCCCGATAGCTATGATATTCCTTCTTTTTTCAACCAGGGGTTGTCTGATTTGGAAATCGTTGATAGCGTGGGCGAATTCGGTAATTATACCAAGAATATGCTCTTCAATGAAGTAGCCTATCAAATTCGTTCTCCTTGATGCATGCCCTGACTTTCGTGGGACGAGGGTTGCTAGGAGTTGAAGCGCACGAGAGAACTGCCTTTATTAGTCCCGAACACCCATATGGTTAAAAGTAGGACTCTACCTACCCTTGCTCTTTTCTCATCCTGAGAATCTCCAAGACCCTTGAATAAATGACAAGCAATAAGAATCGGTTCAATCCGTACAAGTTCCGCCAAGGTACGACCTTCAAAGGCAGTGTCTACTTCTGACAAAGCGGACATTGCCATATCTTGTGGGTTTGACGACGCCTGACTCAACAAGAATGCCAGGATTGCTGCAAGGTTATTTTTCTCTGAACAGACGTCGAAGGGGCTTTTAGAATCCTTATAAGTCGCCCCTATCCTAGCGATAATATCTCGCTTACGTGTTAGCACTAGATGTGGTAATACATATAACTCAGTCAACCTGAGGAAATCGTCCACTTTCATTCCCAACAGGTCACAAAGGTGTTCTGCCATGTATGGACGTGATTGGAAGTTTTTCATTATTGTCACGGAAAGAGTTCTCCAAAAAGGTCTGAACAAGCCTGCAGGAGTAACTGAGAGGCGCTGTGCAAGCTTTGAAATCTAGTTATAAATTTTCGTTAGAGTGCTGCCTATGTAATTGATGGCAGTAGAGCTTATCCAGGAAGGTGAGGTGGATCAGATTTACGTACTTCAGTATACGCTACCGCACAAATGAAAGGATTCGGATGGCCCAGGTATTCAACCAGGCGAAGAAGGATAATGTTCATCTCTTCGTCATTGGAAAGTCTTAGTAACACATAGATGTTAGCCTATGTGACAAAATTGCGGAGAAGTTTTGTACATACGTTGCAAGGCGACAAAGTGTTAGTATACATGTTTCCTGTAATGACGGTTCTTGTTTTTCTGAGAGACTTTTTAGCCATTCTAGAATGACAACAAAATTGCCGCGACGGGTTTTATTATCAAGGCCATTGCAAATAAAAGCGACTATTGAGTGCCTAGTGATACGTCAGTACCGCATGATCAGAACAGCAGGAAACAAACCGTACCCAGTGACAATCCGCAGTTCTCTGATGGAGCTCCGAAGAGAATGGAGGCAGAATTCGCCGAACATAGAAGAGGATAGCTGCGAATAAGTTGGATCCGACGTATGCAGCAGTGTTCGTCTTAGCGTGACCATTGCGGCGATTCTGAGGCTTGTGGTACGTGTGAGTCTAGGAATAATGTAGGCCAAGATTTTGCAGAGTTCTTCAATGTTAGGACATTCTCTGCTCAGCCTTACACCGTTTTCGCCATCGCACATATGGCAAAGTAGGGCACCATTCGGTGCTATGTCACTCAATTGTTCTAGTTCCCCAGCCATAGCACAAGGTATTTTGCCGAGTGTGCTAAGAAGATCGCATTTCCTTTGTTCATCGAGGCTAGCAAAGCCATCCCTGCTGCAATATCAGCTCACCTGTCGAGTGCTATCACTTGATATGCGAACTTACACAACAGCCGGATAGAGGTCACACAAGCCGCCGGGGGATGTGAAACCTATCAGTGCAAGTGAATCTGCTATAAGATGCTGGACTGTATTTCCAGACTCTGAGTGTGGGTTGAGTTGAGGAATAAAGCGGCGTTTTGCCGCCTGAAGAGTCTCATCATCCTGAACCGCTGAGCTCGAGAGTTCATGTTGCTGAAAACGGGAGTCCGATTTCGATACAAAGACTTTGAATGGATCGATGGACACGATTTTTGCGCCACCACATTCTAGACTTATACGGGAAATACTATTGAGAAACCCATGAATCGAAACCTTCCGTACAATAAGCTTAACTCACACTATAATGGGTCTAACTACAGCGGGACAATTACCTGAAGCTGTGTCTCGAGAGTCTGGAAACGATGCGGCATCTTAGTAAGACCACTAAGAGCTGGGAAGATGGTAGTTCTGAGGCACTGGAGAAGCGCCCTGGTATACTTGATGCGGTTAGTGAAGGTGTCCAAAAGCTGGCTTAACTCACTCTGCAGAGTGGAGAATTGGCAAAGTTTGTCCATTGCAAAAATGTCCTCCAAGATTCGCAGCAAGCCGTACATTAGTTCGACTTCCGATGGTGAGGATACGTCCTGGCTGCAGCATGATCGAATACATATCACGAACTGCAAACTTGCGCTTATCTTGTTTTCTATGAGATCTGGCTGCGGACTCTGGAGCCAGTGAAAGATGAGGGTCCAGAGGCGTTGGTAGCCATTCAAAACCCAGGCTACATTCTGTCGAATAACGGAGTTCTTGTTTGCCACAAAAGGAGGGTTGTCATTGTCTGCTCTGAATGAATCGAGGAGGCGAAAAGTTAGATTGAAAGCGTGCGATAATGATACAAGCTTGAATCTCTTCTCGAAAAGACTGCGAGGTAGGCCGAGTCTGTCTAGATCTACAGGGAGATTTCCTTTGGGGGTCGGTAGAATCATTTTAACTTCCGAGTTAGCTCGCAGATTGAGGTTATTGAGATTCTCGAGAGAAAGCAAGATCTCTGAGGTTCGTTAGCCCAACATCCGTACCGGCGGTCCCAAACGTACCCGTTGTGCACGCTCGTAAAAGTCCGGCAGTGGAATGACAAGAGGGCCATAGTCTAGAATGCCTATTTTGGGCGCAGAGTATGCTTGTAAGGATACCCCTAGCTTTGGAACTGATAACTTCATTGTTCCAAGTACCGAGCAATTGGAGTAACCGTACAACCAACCAGGCGTACAGCGGCGCATATGTACTTTCCCCCAAAACAGCTGGATCAGGATATTCTGTTAGGGTTTGAGGTGCCTTTTCAATTGATACCAATACAATATCCAGACAATCCAAGACTTGACCTTGAGAGTCAGGCTTTGGATCCTTGGTGCACGGTTCCAAGCCCGCTTTCAAAACGATGCATATCAATTTGCTGATATCTGTAACCTTGTCATCGAAATGAAGTTGGTTCTGTTTCCCTCCTGCAAGTTCTTGACGGAGCAGGGAAAATGTCTCTTTGCTCAGGCTATGTGGCTGGTTCCCTTGGGAGGGGAGGCGCGGTGCTAACTGTGCTGCCAAGGTAATTGGGGGTTTCCAGCTGCCATTCCCTGGAGTTAGATATCGAGACGTCTCGATTTCATCAGTCGCCATCTGGGGCATGCCTAATCATCTTTTTAGGCTACTAGAGAACCCCGAGTTAATGCTGAACTTGGGCGCTAAGGAACGAGCTTCACGGGTCGTGCTCCAGGTGCGACCCGACATCTGAGCTGCAACTTACGATCATTGTATTTAATCTGTAATACATGTATTGCAAAAAATTCCTGACAACCTTGGAACGGACCTCTTAACGTCGATGCATGGTGCACTTACGCCTCCTTCTATATACTGATCTACCTCGAAAGCAACTTCGAGTACAAGAAGGTACAGAATTTCTCAATGTTATCCTGGAAATAGGTTAGAGTCACATCGTTGACAATGTTAACCATACATTAATTGATATTTTGTATATGTTCGCTTAGACTGACGTTGTCTATCAGGGAACGGTCCTGTACGATAAATATTGAATCAATATATTATTCCAGTTGCTAGAGCAAAAATTATTAAATCAGGTGCTCGTGAGTTGGGATCTCAGGTACTCACGACAACTTTGAAAACCCGCTTCATCGAGTCTAAAGGCGAATAATAATCTGCCGGCTATGGAGGAAGACTCAAGACACGCTTACTTTATGAAGCAAGCTTTATTGATGGTAATTCCGGCCTGGGATTTATACATGATATTAAGCAAATCAAGAGAGCTCACATTGTTTAGGGAGAAAAAGCTCTTGAGACAGGCGAAACTCCAGTCGGGTGTGTCTTAGTATATGACAACCAAATAGTCGGTTCTGGAATGAACGACACAAATAGGTCAATGAATGTATGTTGCCCAACTCTCATGGAATTGTATCTGTGCGAGAAAGCGAATTTGAGCGTGCACTGTACTAGCAAAGCGAACCTCACCTTTCTTTGCAACCATAAGGAGACACGTCTTCCAGCATTATTGTGAAAGTCAGTTGTAGAAAATTAAGTGCCCTGACTTATTTCATCAGGGTACAAAACACGCTGAGTTTATTGCGATCGAGCAGATGCTCCAAAGTCACCCCAAATCCTTACTTCGTTCAACAAAGCTCTATGTCACGGTCGAACCCTGCGTTATGTGTGCTTCTGCTTTGAGGCAGTACCGAATACAGGCAGTGTATTTTGGCTGCGGTAATGAACGTTTTGGAGGCACGGGAAGCATTCTCTCACTACACACCGAGTTCGTTACTCTCCAGTCTTGACTCTCCTGAAATCCTAACACACATTAGTTTCTCAATAGACCCACCTTACCCAGTGTATGGTGGGTTGTTTAGTAAGGAGGCCGTAATGCTACTTCGCAGGTTTTATATTCAAGAGAACGAGAAAGGTAAGTGATCATCTGCCATTATCAAGGACTCGGAGCATTTATTGACTATATGGTAGCACCCAAACCTCGCCCCAAGAAAAGCAGAGAGCTAAATACAAGATTTTGAGGATAACCTAAGAGCTACAACCTTACCGCCTTAGGAGGCAGCAACTCGAACACCAGCGAAGTCACTATAGGAATGCCACCAGCGCTAGTGAAAAAACCATCGCTACCATGTAGCTTAGGAGGGCCATGGTCAAGAGGTAAAATGAGAACGTTCTCGTATGCTTGTGTTATCCACCAAACCTATAAATAAATATACCAGACCGCGCAAGTTACGGCTCAACTTGATTATCCATACCAATGATATTTTCACGCAGAACCAGCCTTCGCCAAACGTTCCGCTTCGAGCTCACGCTCAGCTTGCTGATAGTACTTAGCTGTGTCCACACCATGCTTTATAGAAGTTAGCCCGTGAATAAAAGGCAGGCGGCAGATCAGGAAAGGGGAAGAGTCCGACCTGATCATGGTTTACAATGTTGAACCAGGGAAGAACATGAATGAATAACTCTGAATATCGCGAGTTCCTGGCTGCAACTCCTTGCAGATAAGCAGACACCTTGGAGGTGCCATACAGAGATTCACCTCTCTTGACCTTGTCAACCATCTCTCTTGTATCCATCTCAACCTCTCTCGAATTCTCGGTGAAACCATAGAAGCGATCTGATAGTCATGTAAGCCAATGCTTCTCACCGTAAATGAACGTGGCAATTGACATACTGCAAGATCTTTGGTAGAGCACATGGAGACCTCCAATAAGGCCGATTGCTGTTGCTAGCCGCATCACAGGGGCGAAGCCTCCTCTCCCAACATGAGATGGGCTTACCCTTTCCATAGCCCAGAATGCTAGTGGCGATGCGGCAGCTGCTCCACCAGCAAAAGCATAATCGGAAGGTCTCGCATACCCAAAAACTCGTTTCAGGTGCCTGGAAGCAGTGAGCACTTGTTAATAATTCTATGATTTCAGCAATCCATACGGGTCGGAATCAATCAACTGCAAACCGTAGTTAGCAATCGTTCATTCATCCTAAGTTGAGGGGTCTCTCGCACCGGATAGTCGGAATTAGCCCGTTTAGGGGGGCAAGAACTGTCTTGGGATCAGTGGCCATTGTGACCAAGTCGAGTCTGAAGCAAGTTTGTAGTGGTCGTACTGTTAAAGACGGCTTTCGTTGCGACGGAAGTGAACTCGGAGAGCACAAGTTGTGCCAAGAGTGGAACCTTTCCGGCTGGAGACTAGTAAGGTACTGTTTTGGCTTATTAATCAAAGACCGCCATTGGGGCGAACCATCTATGAAGGTGTTATTTTCAATACCCTTTGTACCGTACAGTATTGTTCACATAGCTACATACGGTAGAGCCTAGACACCTGTTGTACAGCCCGGCCATTTGGTGAACACGTCCGGATGCCTACTACGTCCTCCATTGAAAAGACAATTGTCTCCACTAAACTTAGACAATGGAACAAGAAGGTCATTTGGATATACAACAGGGCTTACCGTCGCAAACTGCGAACGATCTCTTTGACTACGATGTCGGTTTGGATGAGATACTGCAGCACACCCCAACCGAGTCAAGCATAAATGCACCCAGGCCGTCCACTATACCCGGCGATACCGGGTTAGGTCTTGGACTTGATGAGGAAGTCAAGGTTACTAGAAAACGACAGCCCGTTGCTAAACTAGATGAAGCACGGTGAGTTGAGCCACTCGGTTAATGATGGCAACCAGAAGTGATCTAACCTCACTCTACTATAAGGTTGCTGTCCCAAGCTGGTATACCTAGGCTACGCCGCACAGCCAAACAGAAGTTGAAATTCAAAGGAAAGGGACATGAGGTTTGATACTTATCAGCTCTTGCTGTCATACTTTCAGGGGCTGATATTCTTACTACTAGTTTTCTGATGCGGCACGCTTATTACAGTTCTATCAGTTGTGGCTTGATGATCTCTTCCCTCGTGCAAAGTTCGCTGATGGACTAACTATTATCGAAAAACTCGGTCATCATAAACGTCTACAGGCTATGCGCAGAGAGTGGATAGAAGAGGAGAAACCAAAGGTCCACATAGATGATACAACACAAGATCTACAAGCAGGTCGATCGAACTTGCCGATTGCGATAACCACTAGAAGTCATCATGCTATGGATGCTTATATATCTTCATCTCATAGCGTTGGCCATAGCAAAGTTGATAAGGAACCGTCGGCCGAAAAATCAGATGTCCCTGCTCACGGATTATTCATACTTGATGATGACAATACTCACCGCGCGATCGCACGAGACGTTCCTGAGGATGATGACGAATTGGAAACCCTTTTGAGAGAGCAGCAGTATGATGATGCTACAACTAAGAATTCCTTGACCCTGGCTGATTTGGACGCCGACGGTGATGGATTCGAAGCCATGGAAGAATTAAATATCTTAACTCCGACATGAGCTACGCCGTTCTACAATCATTGTCAAGCAATAAACCGCACAAGATCCTAGCAATATTGAATCTCTATCTAGGAATAGCGCTGCGTGTCATGGAGCTGGTAAATTTAATGCGCACATAGGATAGGCCACAATTCTTAACATGCTACAAGTACCTAATAAAAGAATATAAAGAACTTGACATTTGACAGTAGTAGACAGCTTATTAGACACAACTTGAAAAAGAGGGCACCAAAGAGTTCGGCTGGGAGGGGGAGGGAGGACGGGATAAACGAAGATATAGAGGAAAAGTTGGTTGCGCAAGACGCCAAAGCTCCCAAATATCCCTATATACTACGTATGACGCAATATGTAGATGTTTAGTTCCTGTCTGGTGCTAGCGGCACAATTGACTATTTCACACGACCACTGGCTCAGTGAATACTGAAAACTGTCCACCCGCGCCGGCCCAATTTAGCTTTTTGCCACGAACAGCGGTGTTCTCGACAATGGTTGCCACCTCAATATCATCCGAAGTGCCTTGACCTGTTTGATAGGTAGCGGAGAAGCCCCAAGACCAAGGACGGCCATCGGTATCAATGGCAATTGAATGATCAGATCCAGCTGCCACAGTGCTTGCTTTAATTCCTGGAACAGGGGTAGGTTCGATCAGGATCCGGGGTCGCCCACGTTCATCTTTGATAACAGCCTCCTCAGCAAGTGTATCAACTTTCAAACCTGTCTGGAAACCATCTAACCGACCCCATACGAGGCATTGCTCGCCATCAGCAACAGCAATCGAGTGATGAGCACCGCCACAAACTTGACTAATATTTTTCCCTGACAATGAGTCCACAATAGTAGGATGAACAATAGCAGCCTCGTCATCCCCAGCACCCGCCTGAATACCTGTCTCACCAAAACTATTCAGGCCCCAAGCATAAACTTTCCCGGATTGATGGACAGCAAAAGAATGGAAGGCGCCACTCCCGATATGTATAATATTCTTGGGCAGGCCAAATTCACGTGGTTGGAGGCCGTTCAATCTATTCCGCTCGATAATGCGACGTCCCAACTGGTTCTGTTGACCAGATCCCCAGGAGAAAACAGCACCCTTCTCATTCAAGGCGAGGGCATGGTTATCGCCGCATACTAGATGTTTTATTTTTTTCAGTGAGGATATTAGTGTTGGGATCGTTTGAACTGTATGAGTACTATCAAACCCCAAAATGCCATCGTTACTCTAAGCTTCATGTCAGCTAAGGCCTATAGAAATGAGCGAAGAACTTACTCTAAACGTGCCCCAGCCGTATACTTGGCCATCATCTGTGAGGGCGAAACTCGAGCTATCCCCAGCAGCGACTTCAACGAAAACAGTACTTTCGGGGAAAGTATCAGAAGGAATAGCAGTTGGGGTCGACTCGTATGGGTTGAGAGCCGGGTCATCATCTGAGTCTGAATCGGCATCACTCTTATTATCCTCAACCTCCTTGTAGCCTCCATCCCATGTAGTATCCCTTCCAAGCGCACCTTGGTCATTCACGCCCCAGGTAAGGATCTTGTTATCGTGGGTAAGAGCGACGCAGTGCATACCACCAACAGCGACCTGTACTACACCAACCTTATCTGCTGACAGGTAAGGATTGAGGCGCGGCCGCTTTACATCAACAGCAGTCCTTTCCGGCCCAAGACCAAGTTCGCCTGAGCTGCCTTCGCCACAAACGTAAACGTTAAGTCGGGTTGTCGGTGCATGGTTGATGACCACTTTCGGCTTTTGCTTTGTAACACGAGGTTCAACAACGCGTGCCTTTTTGGTTTCGCGAATAGGCTCCTCAACAGCTTCGGCTTTACGTTTTGGGGGTGCTGCGCGGGCAGCTTTTGTGGTAGTCTTTGTGCGCGCATCGCTGCCTTTAGACTTGGCTGCGCTGGTTTTCGTAGGCCGTTCCTTTGCTGGAGTTCTTGTGGAAGGAACCCTATTTGTAGTTGTGGTGCTTTTGGGTGGCTTCGCAGAAGCCTTGGACGCGCTCTTTTTAGGCGGCATCCTTTGAGTTTAGGTGAGGAAAGTAGGTAAATATGCAAGGGGAAAGAAAGGAGAATATATAACCAAGGGAATAAGATGGCGAATGAGGAGGAAATATCTTATTTGGGGGTTGGGGGGGGGGAAGGAAGGTAAAGTATACTGGAAAAGTAGAGCCGACACTAAGAAAAATAGAAACGCGACAAGACCCCAAGTTTACTGTTGTTGTTGTTGTTGTTGTTGTTTAAGGTAAAAAGAAATAATAGAAAAATGCCATCTATGCGCTAAACCCAAGTTGTCGATATTCCGATGATCGGGAAATATTTTTCTGAGCCACACCACTAATGAAGGATTTAGGTCGGTTCTCAATTCGTTGGTTGTGGGGTTGGCCATTGAGATCCATTAACTTATACATACTACGGAGCACAGTACGTAGCCTGAATTCTTAACTATGTACAGTTGGGGGAGCAGTTCAAAGGTTCAAGCAGGTTGTTACCCTTTGACCCTTTATTGTCCTCGATGAACTGATACCCATATGTTCTTTGCTCTACTCCATTTTTCCTTCTCGTCTTCCCTCCTCTTGGAAGTAAAAAAAACCTAAGGAATATCAGAGAGATATGTATATGTCCGTGTATATGATACGAATACTATTACTATGTCAAGTATGTACGACTAGCACGGTCATCTACGTATTAGTTACAGCTACTTACATACCATACCATTTATATGGTAAGGGCAGTGTTCACATTTAATGATGGTCTACGCAGTGAATTTGATTTTACTCTGAGTTTAGTAGACTCCTGAATGAAGTTGAGCAATAGTACTCCGGAGGTAATTGTATATATATACCTTCTTCTTCTTCTTCTTCTTCTTCTTCTTCTTCTTCTTCTTCTTTCTTTTCTTCTTCTTTCTTTTTCTTTTTCTTTTTCTTTTTCTTTTTCTTTTTCTATATGGATACACTAGAAAAACCTAGAAGAGAGAGGGGAGAGAGAGAGAGGCGTCGTCATGTTTAACTATTGCAATATACTATGTTCTTTGTAGGATATGTTGGATTTTGTAGTAGTTTAAAGTTCAATGTAGTAAAATGATGTTACAGAATTAGAGTAATTTATATTTCCCCTGCACTATTTAAATATAGATAGTAGAACTACTACACAGTAGATCTTGGCTAGTTCAAAAACCCACCTTATTAATAGATTGCAATAGGGAATATCTCTACCACCAATGTACAAGTTTCATCGCCATTGAGCTATCGGCTACCCGGCAGATAGGGTTTTCAGAAGTACAGGTCCAAAAATGACTACTTTTTCAGATAGACTGTATGTAACTGTCTTTCTCAACCCACACAAGCAACGCAAGAAGAACATACATAAAGGATACATGGTAATACCTCTCTGTAAAGTACTCAGTTGCTATAGTGTACCATACTAGACTCTATGTACTAAATTAAAAGGTAGTTCGAGGTTTACATAAGGGCCACGCTAAGACTAAGATATTCTCTTTTTCTACACGCCCAGACTCTACCATTTGCTTCTTGGGTTTCTAGGCAGTGACAACTTTCTACGAGATATATACAGTCAGTCAGTCTCACGGCTCTGCACTAGCTCTCGAATTCCAGCCAGCGAACATCTGGATTGGTGATTTTCAGTCGTCCTAATAATATTTTTCTCAGTACGGTACCTAGCATGCACTCCCAGGCTTACATATAATTTGCCACATCCAACTAGAATCCCTGCTTCATTGACCTAGCCCAATTTAACCGTCTACACATTGGGGGCTTCCCTAGCAGGAATATTGTATCTAGTAGTATGTACTTATATAGACGAGAGTAGTCCTCAATGAACTATTAAGTAGTCTATGTAAGCTTGGAGTGTGGTCTCATCTGTATATTGATAGCAAGTTTCATGGAAGATTATGCGTAGCTGATGGGTTCCTACAAGCCCAGTTGATCATTAGTATCATGTTCACTAATCACACGAGGTTGAAACCCTATTCCCAACATCTGTTCATGTATAATCGCTCTAGACGGTTGAATATAGGTAGCCAGTAGTTGGATTAACTCTCGAGGTAAGTCTTTAGGTTGATTCCATGCAAGCATGTAGACATAGGTCCATAGGTGTCACGACCCCGGGCTGTGAGTATTGGATTCACTAGTCTGGATCACGGATTCTTCCACACATTATAACATTTTGCCCGAGCGGCATCCATTTCACCTCTCTTGGGTTGAGGGCGGCATTGGGCTTTCCCTGTTCATCACGTTTTGAATCTGGACTTACTGGCACCCCACCACTGCCCAGATATGTCGGCGCAACTGTTACAATGATAGAGTCAATGAATTCCGTGTATTCGGGATTCAACAGCTCGCTCAGCACAGTCCCACCACCTTCAATCATCACACTTTTGACCCCCTCCGACGCTAAGGCGCGTAGAATGGCTTCCCAGCGCAAACGCCAATTTTGATTATACTCCACAATTCGGAGAAAGTCGCCTCCGTACCCTTTCAGCATCATCAATTTCTGGGGGTGGATTTGGGCCCCTGGCGACACAACCACATGGTGCCTTGCCTTTCCCTTCGACCGCTGTCCGCAGCATTCTGCATCCAGGATGAACGGGCCATCGCCCTGTTGGATCGATTATGACCGGCCGTGGTTGCCACATTCGTCCAAGACCACCAAATCCTCCTGCACCCTCCAGCCTACAGTTCAAGCCTGGGTTATCAGCCAACACAGTCCCGACACCTATCAAAATAGCATCATGGCGTGATCTTAGGTAATGCGTCATCAGTTTTGCCTCCGGCCCAGAAAGTACTGTCTGCATTCCTGGGAGCAGAGATATTTTGGAGTCCATGGAGGATGCATACGACAAAGTAACGTGTGGAAACTGGCGTCTCTCGTCGTATCTTGGGAGATAAGGCTCAAGAAAATCTAAAGGAAACTGAGGGAACAAGAGCGTATCTGGCGGTAGGGGTGAATCCAAATACGTCTTTGGTGGCGGTGGATTAGTAGATGCTTTACAGTCACCATTAGTAACCCTTATCCTCACAATGCCATGGCCCTTCTGATATTCATACCCATCGTGAGGTATGAGCTTAACTTCCGGGTTTTGTATTCTCCATTTCGCAGAGACATTGCGAACGTCCGTGACAGTACAGAATTTCCCCCCTGCTTCGATAAGCTTTTCAGGTTCTTCCTGGAACTTCGTATATATAGACGAAGGTAAGTACCCCTTAATGGCCTCCTTGCGGGCAAATTCCATAAGCCCCGAATTTCGCTTCACCCGGTCAATGTAATCAAGGTCATGCGAGTGTATAGGGCTGCTTCCGGGTGTCCTTGCGATAGTCACCGTTGAATAGGCTCCCTCGAAGCGCACAACTTTAATCTGGAAGTTGCAGATACCACCCTCACGTACCCTCTTTTTCCGAGGACGCTTACCCTCCGGTAGAGGCCGAGTCTCGGACGTGCGGTGCGTTGGGCGTCGTAGACGACACATATAGTAGTCCGTTGTGCAGTGACCTTCTTTACTGGAGTTGGACCTTTGCTTAACCCACACATTATCGATGTATGGCCAATATGTTTCAAATTCTTCGAGGCTAATCTCAATTGGATCTTTGCATTCAAACATTACTTGTCGTATTCTTGCGAGGTTTGGCGGGTTATTTATAAGGTTGTAATTAACTGGAGTGCCCACGTGCTCCAAGTTGCCAGCATTGGCACAGTTGTCATTCGATTCACTTGGTCCAGCGTCTTGCAAAATAGCCTCATTCTCAGCTGCCACAGATTCATGAAGACTTAAAGTAGCGCGGGACCTTGGGCTACTCCCAGAATCTAGTGAGCTTGTTTGACTATCGGGATTGTGCGTTGCGGTGTGGTGATGATTGCTCGCCTCCATCGATTTCTCCGATATTGAGTCTAGGGTAGGCGTTGCCGGTGCCGTAGTTTCATTGTGTAAAGGATATACATCAGATTCAGAGGATAATGACTTCGTACTCGTGTTTGACACGTCCGAATGGTCATGGCCCATGTCGGGTGCTTAGAAATTGGCTCCTAGTAGTCAAAGACTGTTCTGAGATGCATGTACGGAGTACAAAACCTCGGTTTGGAGGGCCCCACATCGGTTGGCAATGATTTCACTTCATGATAAATCGATGGTATAGATACATACATCGGTGGTAGGTTTAGGGATTGGAGAAGTATGGGTAGACTCGATGTTTCTTAGTTTGCAATTGCCCCGTTCAGCGATTCTCTATGTTAAATGTTAGGTGTCGGTCTGCATCGCCTTGACCTATCCGCTCAAAGAATCCTTGGCGCAACCTTTACCTCCGGCGCGGAAAAAGTCCGCCCATGGGTTTACCGGTACATCAGGTAGATGCCTATATACTAGCTGCGGGCACCAACACTACATACCTACAATTTGCACCAATCAAAGTTCTGATCAATCGGCCTATAGCTTGTACGAGGACTGGTAGTAGTAAGTTAGGTAACATCAAGCATACACTCCATAGCAACTACCTAGTAGAATAACATTCAATATGCCCCGATTTCTGCGCCAGCACGGGCGAGCGTCTCATAGACTCTGGGTGGCAATTTATACTTCACCATACCAGAAAAGATCATCAGATCTTTGGCCATTACCAGTAACTCATCAGCTAGGCTTTGTCTGATTTGATTTTCGTATGTCCCAGAGTTCAGTCGTTCTCTTTCATGGCCAATACATGTGATGCTCCACATTACCACATGCCCAATATTGCGAGAGATCATCGTGGGGAAGGACGAGAATGCTTGAGCTGCGCTTCGGATATAGGGTACTGAGCCTCTAGCCCGAAGAGGAAGGATGTTCAGGGCATTGATGGCCTGCAAACAAACACTGTTAGAGACAGAAGCCAAGAGGGAAAGGAAAGAAAGTAGAAGAGCATGAGTCCTTCACTTTGTTATGGATGATGATACTTACATCCAGGGCTGGGGTCCATTTTCCTGCTTCAACTTCAGCTTTGGCTCCATCATTTGAAGCAACAAACCACATGCGTCACGATTGACAGGGCGGATTCGCTGGTAATATAGGGCATTCATGTTGTAAATGCTGATAATGTTTCTTGCCAGAGCCACTGGGTCTTCCACTGCTGTCAAGCTGAGGCTACTACCAGGGTCCCTAAGAGCCTCCTGCTCTGAGACTTGAGCATCTTGCCGTTTTGTCCGTGGTTGTAATGGCTGCAGTTTCAAGGAAGGGCCGCCCAATTCGACAGCTACAGAATCAGATAGTGCTCTGTTGATGATATCAATGACGCGGTCGTAATCTTCAGCGAGATGGTACAATAGGACGGCATCCGTGATTAAGCCCTTGTCGTCGGCCACAGCTGCCGCTTGTACAGTTATTGTTTTCAAAAACTCCTCTTGATCTACCAACTTGATCAAGCCAATCCGTTGTTCAATTAGTCCCTTGATTCTGGTTCCATCGGAACGTACATCTCCCAACAACCTGGCGAATTCCCGGGTTTCCAAGATATATTCGCGCAATGCCTCGTGACACACTGAGGCTTGTGACTTGCCCAGGGAGCCTGGAAGGTCAGCGTTAAGGCAAAGCAAGGAGAAGTAATCAATCGCTGCCTCCACCAACCCCGTACGGAATTCCTTCGTGTATTGTATGACGAGATAGCCGAAATTGATCTGTGGATATTGTTTCACAGTGAATGATACTATTTCTGTTAGCGTATCCATATAAAGTCAAGGCAGAAAAAAAGCTAAGAACTAGTGTTACTTACTGATTTCTTCACCCGAAGCATAAAAATCAGATACGCGCAGAAGGCCGTAGTAGGCCAAAGCAATTGCAAAGTGCACAGCGCTGACTGGAGCGTAAGAACTGAGGTAGGAGACGGCTTGCTCAAACATTCCTCCCAGGATTTGTAGGAGAAAGAAAGTTCCATAGCCGCCAGGTCCCTCTTGGCCCTTCCCGAAAACTCGCTGCCCGATTTCAGCGATATCTGTCTGGATATCCTCCAGGCCAAAAACATCTCCTGCAACCTCTTCAGTACGATCATCTTCCCTAGCTAAGTTGAACTGCAACCACATCCAGTCTTCGACACTTTGGTTTACACCTTCCAAGCGTCTGCGACTGAGGTCACAGCGTCCGATAATCTTGTAACAAGCCATCCGATAAGGATCAACAGTATTATCAGGAGCATTGCGCGATCGTTGTTGATATTCACCGTTGATTTTTTGTTGTAGATCCCTTGGTAAACGTCTATTCTGCGCGTAAGTTGTCATATAAGTCACGAATTTATGATCCAATGACCGGAACCCAGGGTCTTGGCTAACATATTCTGCCGCCTCAGTAATGAATCCACATCGGAGAAGATAGAATATGAGGATCCAGCAATAATCCTGACCAACCATTTGCAGCTCTGTCCCATCAGGAGCGAGATCCTTCCTCGCCGCTCTAAGTCGGATATAGGCGCGAATTTTATTGATCACAGTCGGTATTCCACCAAGCTGCGCTTCTCGAGGGTTTTTAGCAATCACATTTTCAACCTCATTGTAGAATAGATTCTCAAGAAACGTTCTGGACCCATCCACAATCCTCTTTCTCAAGCTAATAGCACGTCGCGAGCCTGGCGCTTCATCCAGGTAATCTTCAGAAAATTGGCGTTCCTTCAATGCACCCGGATCTGACGTGTTTACAATATTTGGAGTTTCTTGAACAATGCTTATCAGCGCATGGTAAGCGTCAAAGAGTTGCCGGGGAACCTTATGCCGTCAGCTCAGAATAAAACTTTCAATCAAGTCAACTTACATCGCCACCAACATGGCTTTCAACTTCAGAAAATTCGTGGAGGACAGGGAAAGTATGTGCTTGGAGTCTAGCAGAGTTCAGCAATTGAACCTTATCCGCATAGCGGCTCATCTTTTCCCGTAAGAAATGAAGATCTGAAGACTGAGTGCTGGATGCGTCACTTCGTTCCATTGGGGCGTCAAAGAATCTATGACTCGCCGTTCTAGTGCTGGGTACACCAATAACTGACTTCTCCATACCAGAGCGCCCAAAGACACTCCTATGGGTGACGCCTGGGGCGGTATAGCTTGATGTGGCACCATATTGTTTTGACTGTCGCACAGAATGGCCGAATGCGCCTCTTCCATCACCGGTATTGTCATCCTTCTGTGCCAGACCAAAATGCTGAAAAATTCTCCGACGTTGCTCTTCCCAATCTAGGTCGACCTTTTCCTCCAAGAATATATCGAAATCTCTATGAATACGAGTGAGGCTCTCCGCAATCATTGCATGGCGGCCGCGTTGTTGTATATTGCGCAAAAACTTTTGATTGTCGGGGTCAAAAGTCTCTTGTTCTTTTGTAGGGCCTAATACCAAGGCTTGGGGGTCTAAAGCTTTAAGATCCCGCAAAGTATGCCCTGGTGAAACTCCAGATGCAGCGAGGAGATAGTGACTATTACCGATTAAAAATTAGTTATGTTGTAAAACCACGGAAGGGATATTAAGTCTGATGAATATACGTACGCCTTACTGTCCTGTATATGTTGTGAACCCTTTGTTCCCCCATTACCAAGTTCTCTTGCTTTTCTTCGGATATCATCAAGGCCTAATTGAAGACTGGGTAGCTCTTCGTAATTGCTGCTTCGCCCTATTGTAGAAAGTGGTCGTTTTTTACCACGCTCCAGCAGGCTGTTGAAAAAAGCGGGCTGCGTGGACTGATTTGGAGGCAGTGAGGATTGGGTTGTATTAGCCTGTGCCTGGCTATGCTCGAGATTTGAAGATGGGGCAGACTGTTGCTGGGCTTGCGGCTGTGCGCCAAAAAGTGATCCGGTTGATTGACCCTGAGTGAACGTATTCCCTACAGCATTTATTGGATTATTTGTTGTGAAGAGGGTCGATGACTGTGTGGTTGCTCCCAGCGCGCCGCCCCCAAATAAAGAATTTGAGCTTGTGGATGCCATCGAGCTATGAAAATGGTGGGAAGGGAAGGACCTTTAACGATCAAAATAGCGTTGGGTTGGTGAATAAATTCTGATCCATAAGCAAGTGGTATAGGATTATACAAAAAGGCAGTGTATGAAAGGTGATGCTCACTGTTTGATCACACTAGACAATCGTGGACATCAGGCCTGGTAGTTCTGTTGTAGGTCTTCCCCTTCTTCGCACTTGATGTTTGTGAGACCGCTTTGCTGCGATATATTTCCAAAACTAGCTTATCCCGGACTTTCTATTTCACCGAATGCTCAGTCCACAGTAGCCTGCCTTAGGCTCACCAAGACAGAAAAGCCCTTTTGATAATAACGCCATCTGGGTTTAGTTAAGAGCAGAGTAGTACACCACTTCCTAATATTCTTGTTCCTAGACTGCCTTGCATTCTCATATCTCTTTCGGCAATGCCCGTGTTCCAAAGCAAAACGTTTCGTCGTGCAACAACAGCATCGTCTTCGCTCGGGGAACGGATCGGCGAGACCTACCGCGCTAGATTGCCCAAGCATCCGTTTCTTCTCTTTGGATTCCCCTTTGTTATGATAATCGTTGCGGGGTCATTTGCTTTGACCCCTGCTGCTGCCCTGAGATATGAACGGTACGACCGCAAGGTGCAGCAATTAAGCCAAGAGGAAGCAATGAATTTAGGGCTGAAAGGGCCAGACGGGGAAGAGGGAATCAGAAGGAACCCTCGGAGGCGGATAATTGGAGATGAGAGGGAAGAGTACTATGTATGTCAAACCATTTAACTTGTCATTGTTGAAGTGCACATCAGTAACAAACTTCTACAGAGGCTCATGGCAAAAGATTTGGACAACTGGGAGCAGAAAAGAGTGCAGAGGCTTAAGGGTGAACCCGATGGGAAACTGTGAACTACTTAAGTACTATCATACCATATATTTTGCATTCTGATAATCTCGCCTGTTGGTTGTTTCAGTATTTGTTCATTACGAGAGCTCTGCAGCTGATCAGCTTGCGTGTTTTTCTATATACCTTTCCCCTTCCACTTGTACTTGTACTTGCCAAACAGCCTTTGTGAACCAAGCTGTCGAGTATGCACACACAAGAACTGTTTCGAATCCACTCATTTGGTGATTTCATTTATAGAAAGACTTGCACTTCTGTTATAGAATCCCCCTGTCAGCAGCCTCGGTAGTACCGTAAGAAGCTCTGTACGAATAGGTTTGAGAGGCCCTCCACCATGTACTTCGTATCATTATTTGAAAATGGAAGCCCCCACCAAATGTAGCTACGTACCCAGTCTTGCTGCCCATGTTGTAAGAGATCATAACTAAACAATCAAAAGTGAACCAACCTACTTGGTTAAATTGCCTTGAAGACATTTTTACTGTATGAACGAACCTCTTTCTTTTCCCACTTTAGGTGCCTTTCTCTAAACGTGGCACTATTTAAAAATACAAATATTTTCAACTTCATTTATCATCCGCGAATTGATTTAGTTATGTGGAACAAACAGACAGTCAACCCAAACCACTAGATGGTTGGTATGGTCTCTGTTGATGTTTGTACTGCAACAGGCTTTAGCAACGGAGTATGTCTCAGTACGCTAAAGTATGTAAAAGGACCACGAGTAGAATATCTATAATAATACTTGCAACTATGCACTGTGGAAAAGAATGACGTCAGCTAAGATCGACGCGATCTAATTCTAACTACATAAATAGCACAGTTAAAAATAAGCAGATATATGTGTATCTACCCTATGCTTTTTGTAATATATTGGTTACTATTACGAGTTGACTAACAGAGGTACGGGAGCAGATTTAAGATGAAAAACAATAAGATTGCCACCGCGTTTTCTTCCTTCGTCAGGTTCCTTGATGGGAAGATCCAGACCGGCCTCCTGCCTCATAAGTTTTGGCTTTTCTGCACATTTTCGCCGCTTCCCGGCCCTTTCCCCCGTGGACCATATACGTCATACCCAAAGAACGTCTTGGTTCCTTCAATTTTCTTCACCATTCATTCGCCCTACCTGGAATTTCTCGCTTATTGACCCGTTTCCCCCTTCGTGCTCAATGATGGTAGTGGATCGGTGATTGGCATCAGCCAAACCCCTCCTCCCCCACTTTTTCTTTCTAGGTTTTCGATTGGCTCAGGAACTCTGCCTGAAGTTGAGCGTGCGATCATTTTTTGGGCCTCCTTATGTGAGACGCGAGCCACGACCGCCGCTGTGGCCAGACTTCATCCACCTCCAGTACCCAGTTTTGTCGCCTTGTGTTCGAGGTAGACTACTAAGCCTCAGAAACTAAGATTCCCCTTATCTTTTTTTACCGTGCTGATGGGTCTTATTCACTCATGACTTGACTTTTTTTGGAGAATCGCCTGCCTTATCCAACGTTTGTCCCCCATCGATCCCCGTTTAAGACTTGCTGGACCATCGAGAATACCAGTTATTGCGCATAGACTGGCTGTGCAATTTAGCGTGCTCTTTACTGTCAAACATCAACGGCATTCGGCTACGGTGCCAGTTAAATGTGATAGCACTTGGGGTGCTAAGGTGCATTGCTTATAGGCTGATTAGTTCGGTTGGAGAAGTCCCCAGGGAAGTACTCGGCTGCTGGGCATTTCCCATTTGGAAATTCAATTTATCTCGAGATGGCAAGCGGGCTTTTAAACTAATTTGAGCACCCGAGCGCTATTGAAAAAGCAAGGGAAAGAACGTCGTGTTGTGTATGTGAAGGAAATATGTCTGCTATGACGGGTCCGAGATCACCTACTTCTCCGTGGCCTCAGGAGCCACCAAACCTACAAATCACAGGTCACCCTACCTCAGCAGCAATTTTTTCGTTGTGTGACTCTCACCAGTCTCCGCTCAACTCCAGCCTTAGTCCTCACAGTACAGTCCCAGAACGTTCGGGTCCTAATTATTTCTCTATCAGCGTGGAGAGTTCCACCACTCCTAGAAAGACTGGTGATACGCTCTCTTATGCCCAGTCTTCAATTCCTAGTCCGAAACCACACTTATTACCTACGAAGACTGTGCTCGATGATTATGCGAATCACATAGGAGCAGGCTCATCCGTTCACGAACGCAGAGCATCTGCGATCTACAGACGCTCTTTAAGTCGTGTCTTACCGAAAAAGGATATTATTTCTAACCAGTCTGATACCTCTACGAGTATAAAGTCTGGAAATGGTCGTGCCGTTGCAGTTGAACGCTGTGCTGAGTTACTCGAATCCTCGCCCAATGATGTCATGCTGTTAGATGTGCGGCCATATGCGCACTTTGCGAAAGGGAGCATCAAGGGATCGTTGAATCTTTGCATACCAACGACTTTATTGAAACGTCCTTCGTTTGATACACAAAAGTTGGCAAATACTTTCACAAATCACGTGGACAGGATGAACTTTGCCAGGTGGAAACATTGTCGTTATATCATCGTCTATGATTCAGGGACTTCTGACATGAAGGATGCAGGGCCTTTGACAAATGTGCTGAACAAGTTCACGACCGAAGGATGGGATGGGGATGGGCTAATCCTTAGGGGTGGGTTCGACTCATTCTCGAACCGATTTCCCTCTCTCTTGCAACAGCAAAGTTCGCCTGCAAAACTGTCAAAGAAGCCAACTTCAATGCACATAGACCTACCATCTGTTGCCCCTATTGCTGGGGGTTGTGCTTTGCCTGATTCCTCACGTCCCACAATCCCCTTTTTTGGGAACATCCGGCAGCACATGGATCTTCTTGGTGGTGTCGGTCAAATTCCTCTTCAGCTGCCCGAGAACCTGACAGAATCGTTGAGGCAGTCACTACCACCTTGGCTGCGGGAGGCGACAGATCCAGCAGACCAAGGTCGTAGCGTTTCACAGAAATTTCTAGAGCTGGAGAAGAAAGAGTTAGAACGCATGAAACAAGCACTGACTTATGACAAGTCTTCCGATACTTCAGCAGCCGATGCTTTCCCGGAGAAATTCCGTGTCGCAGGTATCGAGAAAGGCACAAAAAACAGATATAACGACATTTATCCTTTTGATCACTCCCGGGTGAAGCTGCAGGATGTGCCGCCTGGGGAATGTGATTACGTAAATGCAAACTTCATGAAAGCAGAGTATGGCAATAAGCGCTACATAGCTACTCAAGCCCCTGTACCTGATACATTTACTGTGAGTTCCATCGATTCCTCAGCATCTGGTTCGCCTGAGATTCGTTCTCTGCAAACCCTTATATCAGCCCTGATACTAGTTTGGCTTACGAGATCTCCAGGATTTCTGGCGTGTAATCTGGGAACAAGATGTCAGGCTCGTCGTTACTTTGACTGCAGAGTTCGAAAGAGGCCAGATTAAATGTCACCCATATTGGGAGTCTGGAAAATACGGGCCTCTTCAGGTCAACAACTTTTCCCAGAAATACCTCGATATAGATTCTCCACATTCGCATCAAGTCGGTCCTTCATTAAAAACAAGCGAGGATTCCGGTAAACCTTATATCATAGTTCGGCATTTTGGTTTGTCACATTCGGCTTTTCCATTTCAGCCGCTACGTGAAGTGACGCAGTTGCAATATCCATGCTGGCCTGATTTTGGCACCACCTCACAACCTGCCCATCTACTTAAGCTGATTGAACAGTGTGATAAAGTCAGAGATGCATCTCCCAGCCGTGACGTAGGGACAACTGAGCGGAGGCCAGTATTAGTCCACTGCAGTGCGGGGTGTGGCCGTACGGGGACCTTCTGTACTGTTGATAGTGTGCTGGACATGCTAAAGCGAAGACCCGCAGAAGATACAGCACACTCGCGGAGCTCACAAATGATTGATCATTCCTACCACGACTCATACGATGGAAAACTGGATCTCATTGCCAAAACCGTAGCTGACTTTCGCACACAACGACCTAGTATGGTCCAGAACTTGAGTCAGTTCGTCCTGTGCTACGAGAGCGTTCTAGAGTGGTTCGTTTCTCGGATGGAAAATAATCGCTTGGTACAGTACTAGTAATATAGCTTGTCACCTCACTCAAGAGTCAGACCTTTGACTCGTCAGGGACAGTCTTATTGGTTATGCCCGTTGTCAGCATCTACGCTTGTCTGGTCTCCCTTCATATATGACATGTATACTTAGACGCATTCCTATGTGTTTGGCAGAGCACTTCGTCTCGATTTGCTTTTCTACTTATTTCTTTAGGGAACAAGTCTTGTTTGGTTTATCCTGGAACTAGATGAATTAGCCATTTACTTGTATCTCTCTGGCGATGGGGAATTTATGGTCTCTTGTGACAGTGTACGCCAGAGAAAGACAGCAACCCACTCGTTCAAGTTGAAACTAGGGGTTTTTATGAGGTGGGATGGTATGACAACGAAAGGTACATAATTTAGGAACTGTTTTTAGAGCATGGGATCAGTTCCTGCCTTACCATGTTGATATAAATAGGCTGTGGTTAAGGAGAAACCCAGGAGCAAATTTAGGACTTCGGCCCCGAAATTGAAAAGCCAAAGGCGTGTAATCAAAATAAATGCAAATTGGTGCTGAGAGTTCAAGCTGGGTTTTTGTATCCACAAGAGGTGTTATGGATCTGGATATATCCAGGCATCATTAACTTCTGGATGGCTGTCTCCCCTCATCCATCGTCACTGGATGCTCAGGCAACCATATCTAACGGCTACTGCCTGCTAACTTCCAAACCGATAAATCCCCACTCGATCCTGCTCACATCCGTGCTGATAGTGAAACATAACTTTATTTCTAGGTGCCATATTAGTCTGCTTTCACTGAATGGTCTAACATATCTGCATCTTTACAATCATTAGATTCTCGTACATTGCAAGTGCCAGATCTCACTAGCAAGCTTCAAACTAGAGATATTTGCTGCTTGTTCTCTCATCATCAATTACTTGAGGTCTTCTGAACGAGTCATTGAAGCCAGCGCCATGCTTCTACAACTCCCCACAGAACTGATACAACTTGTTCTTCAATATTCAACCACGCCAGCCTTCCTGCAGGCAGCTTTTGCTTGTCACACCCTCTATGACATTGCCTCTAACTGCCGGGAGATTCTATTGCATCACCTGTACCAAACACCTGGGCTGAATGAGGATCTTCTACGTGCTGAGTCAAAGCAACTGTTCCGGGTGCTCCAAAGGCGCGCGTCCCAGCAACTGTATGGTGCCCAGTTCACCGCAAGTTGTACTCATTTCCACTTTGGGCCATTGGTCCTTGATGTCAAAGCATCATCGCTAGCCCCCTCAGAACACCAGACCTTGGCACTTGTTTACAAAGGCCACGAGGACATTCGGCTTTTTCACACCGAGAATGGCCAACTTCAACTTAAAGCTTGCTTGAAACCACACCGACTTCAGCCAGGCATAGTCGAGGTTCTAAGGACAGCCTTTGATGCAGATGATGGCCTCTATGTCCTACAACGCTTTACACCTACGGTTGAAGAAAGCCCAGACTCAGAGCACCCATTCATTAAACAAGCATCTAAATGTTATATCCGGGGGCAGATCTATCTCATTCGCTACTCCCTCCAGTCTCGCCATGATCCTGTTCGCGTGTGTACATTCCCAGACCATGCTGAGTATGAGCCTCTGGCTCTCGCCGCTGCCAATCGAGATACTTTTGCAATTTCCTGGCAGCATTGCCGTGAAAGTGAAGACTATGAAGTAGTGCTTTATAATGCACAGAGCACATCTAGCGTCCACAACCTGCCAAGCGCAATAGGTTCGTTTCCCAGTTCTGCTGCTAATAAATATGGAGAGATAGATTTTGACCAAGTTACAGATCTTGCATATGATTCTTGTGTCCTTGTAGACTGGACCAAACAGCATCAAGATGATGACGTACACCTCCATGCAAGGTTGGCCGGTCCCCGTTTCAACTGTCAGAAAGGACCCGTTATAGACCTTGCATTCAACGATAGATCAACCCAAATACTCTATTACCACCGAGCCCAAACTTTATATGGATCATTTCAAAGGATCAATATGACCTCTTTCCCGGTCCAGCCTACATTATATGAGAACTCATCGCTGGTGCAGTTCTCGGGTTCCTTGAGTCTTCGCTTCTCAATCGCCATTCCTTTTTATGGAACACATGTAACGCGAGTGGAGGGAAACGGGCATTCCAGATGTCACTGGAAATACCTTGCTTTAGGAATAGCGACTCATCGCACGGAAGATTGGACAGTCGCATGTTTGTTGAAATCCGAAGCAAGCTGCTCATCTCAACTTTGTGGACATATTCTGAACCTTGAACGCGGGCGACGCTTTTTTGACTGGACAGTAGTTGCACGACTTTGGGGCTTTCAGGATTCGAATAATTCCCTCGGTTGTAAAGTTGCTACTTCGAAACATGGCACACGGATTGCTGTCGCTAACTGGAATGTCTTGTACATCTGGGCACTGCAGCCCAGTGCACTCATCGAACAAAATTCCAACGGATATTACCCGCCCTTGCTGCTGTCCCCAGACTCAGGAATGGTCGAACTGCGGCCGATAGTTATCCCACTAGATGCGGTCTGCTTCAAACTACGTTTTACAGATGTGGAGGACGAATTGTTGGCTATCACAGACAGAGGGTTGATGTACTGGGATCTTGGCCCGTTAGGAAGAGGCCAAAGAATAACTAAAGAGCTACCGGCTTAGATGAGTGACTTGGGGTGACTTAGTCATGCTAGGTGTGGGAACGGCTTTTGGGGTTCTCAGATCATATGCTATGGTATGATAGGCACCTAATCTGGATGGGTTATGCTACCGACGAGCAAGAAGACCAGTTATTAGGTGCGATATCGTCCAGCATATTCATTAGGGGTAGAAATAAGTTCTATAATATATGTTTCTTTGAGATAAATACAACTGTCGCACATCAATCTCCGATGCACTGTACTTGGCAATCAGCTTTATTTCAAGAGGTAGAAAGACATCGAACCTTCGGTGCTTGCTAAACACCATGGTACTTCCGCATGATAATGCAAGGCCGCCATGGCTGCGGTGTATGTTCTCTTTTTTACAAAGTAGACTTTCAACATGTAAGCGTCCCAGGCGAAAAAAGCGATATCGGGATGCATGATCCCCAAGAAAGTCCATCGCCCGCACACAAGAGGCCACTTACAATCAATTCATGGCATCTCCATCTTCGCTTTTCTCCCAGTACTGATTGATGACTCTCAAAATACCGGCAAAGACTGTTACAGTATAGGGCAATGAACTAAGGAGACCGCTTTGAGAAACTCGATTTTCCGAAATAGATTTTAGTCTTAGTCAACTTACCACTCGGAGTGTCAGACCGTGTAGATCTCTAATAGAAGTAGTACGCGTGTCGAAGATTGCACACGGGTGTGTCTTAGGACCTTACGTGACATTCTCTGATATGCTCTGACAGTTCTGGTCTGATCATTCCCACTCTCATATCTCTTGCTGGAAAGTTCTCAGGACAAATAATGGCGATTATGAGTGGATAGTGCGAAAGGGCCGGGCCAAAAATAATCATTTTTCTTCTCCGCTGCCAGACATAGCCAGAAATGTGATGATGAGGAAAACCCACCAATACCTGGTAGGATGCAAAATATGTCAGTCTATTCTAGATAGGAGGGTGGATTTAAGATATACAAAGCGCTTACTTCTGGAAGAATGTTTTCTCAGCGATATCTTCAGGGTTTGTGCCATCTGGAGTGACAACAACAGGGCGATTAAGATGCGGCCGGGGTCCAGCTTCGAGGGGGATAAGTTTCATAATGGGGCTTGTTGTGTTTGATGCAATGGTAGACTCGAGCAGTGATAACGTTAGAGCCACGCAATAAACTTTATTGGAAGAATCGAGATAAAGCTGAAGCAGTGGCCTTTGTCCATCACTTCCTGCGATGGCAGACCAAGACGTGAGAGTCCCGGTCCATTGCTTCGGGTCAATCCCGTTGGATGTATATATGCCGACACGCACTAGGTTCGATGACTCAGTTTGCGCCGTGATTGGAGGTGAGTAGGATATCACGTTGGACTCTAAAGAGTTTGGATCGTAGGAGATGCGGGCGAAGACCGAAGGTTCAGAGGATATTATGGGCCAATAGAAAATATCTGTTGAGATGCGTTGAGAAGAATCAGGAGTAGTAGCCTGAGCATATGAGCTGATGGTAGAAAGTACCGAGAATACGATGGTAGATAAGCGCATGTTGAGGAGATCAATGATAGCAGGAGGTGGAAGTAGATGAGGTTGTGCAAGTGGTTGAGGTAGTATCTGATCCTGCAAAAATTAAACCCTGTGGTATAATCTGTACAGAGAATACAGAGACCAGGGAAAATCCAATACATGTGCTGTATCTACAATACAAAAAGGGCGGTACAATACATACTGTGATACCAATGTTAAGAAGATACATACCGTATTGTATGCACAGCACATACCGCTTTCTTTCTTTGCACGTTTGCAATTAGGCCCAACCAAGTCCGTCTTCTGGGAGAATGTTTACCTCTCCGTATTCATACTACAAATGTCCTATACATGTATGTATATACTTTAGGTATATATCAGAAATATCCTGTCGATGACGATATCGAGTTGTCCTCCTGTCGTAATTCGGAGCGATTCGGAGCTTCATTGTCTCTATTGTTCTAGTTCTCCACATCAAGTTGGTCTGGAGGTGTTGGTTCATTCCCCACACTGTGCGTTTGGTTGGGTTCTTGGGATGATCCCAGTATACTCCAGGGTATGCTGTCATACTTCTCCGTACTCAGTGGCTAGGTACAGCATCCCTCGTTTAAGCTTCTCCGGTCTTTTACAACTTTCTCTGTTTCGCTCCCACGCACAATGACATATATATAAAACTAATCACAGAAACCGAAGGAAGAAACCCCCCAAACTAAAAAAAGAGGCGAAAACAAAGTGAAGTAAAACAAAGCAAAGACATCCAGAACTACTTTCACCCTCTATATCTTTCCTAGTTTCACTCTCCGAAGTGCCACTTTGTTTTTTGAAGAGAAAAAGGTAGAAGCTTTACCTAGTGAGCCCAACAGGCCTCCACCTGATTCATCTGACACCTCCGATTAGGGACTTACTTTCGCCTTTGCCACCTACTCAATATTTTTTCTTTTATTTACTGTCATTTGCCTCTCTCCCCATGGCCTCCATAGCTCCTTCGATGCCCTACCGCCGGCCATCGCGACAAGGCTCTAGACAGGCATCTAGAGATAGCCGAGACGACATTCACTTTCACATAGATCATTACATCGGTATCGATGTTGGGACCGGCAGTGCCCGGGCTTGTATCATCGACAGTAAAGGGGATATTGTTGGTTTGGCATCGGAGAACATTGGCCTCTGGCAGCCACAACAGGGATACTATGTCAGCTCTTTCCCTTCTTACTTCATGTTTATTGATTGATTCTGTCTCCCTCCTCCCTTGCCTTTTAATTTCTCTTTCTACATGCCTTGTACTATCGATGCTGAACTTTTGACTGATGATATTCATTAGGAGCAATCTACAAATGATATATGGCGGTGTATATGTGTGGCTGTCCAACGCGCCATTAGCCAACACAACATCGATCCGGAAACCGTACGAGGGATTGGCTTTGATGCAACATGTTCGTTGTCGGTATTCTCCAACGTTACCGACGAACCTATATCTGTCACGGGGCCCAATTTTGATTCGGATCGCAATGTCATCCTTTGGCTAGATCATCGCCCGATACAGGAGACGGAAAAGGTCAACAATACCAATCATAACTTGCTTCGTTATGTTGGTGGGAAAATGTCTATTGAAATGGAGATTCCCAAGGTCCTGTGGCTGAAAAATCACATGCCGAAAGAATTGTTCGACCAGTGTAAGTTCTACGATCTGGCGGATGCACTGACCCACATCGCAACTGGCAACGAGAAGAGAAGCTTCTGTAGCGTTGTTTGTAAGCAAGGCTACGTCCCTGTCGGGGTGGACGGAAGTGTCAAAGGTTGGCAAGAAGATTTCTTGGCCGAAATAGGCCTTGGGGACCTCACTCAAGAGAACTTTAAGCGGATGGGAGGTGTTGATGGGGTGGTGAGCCTTTTTCTTTGCTTCGGGTTCCTGCTGGATCATGTTTTTTTTTTTTTTTTTTTTAAATGTTGACCGCTGACTGCTCCAGAACGGCGATTACCTAAGTGCTGGAGAGCTAGCTGGAACCCTTTGCGAAAAAGCGGCCTCTGAACTGGGATTACCTTCTGGTATTGCTATAGGAAGTGGAGTCATCGACGCTTATGCAGGTTGGGTTGGTACTGTTGGTGCCAAAGTCGACCTCGGATCTGAGCAGCTAAGCTCAAATGTCGCCAAGAACGATAAGACGCAAGCCTTTTCTCGTCTAGCAGCTGTAGCCGGTACCTCGACCTGCCATCTTGCAATGTCCCCCAATCCTGTATTTGTCCCTGGTGTTTGGGGCCCCTATCGAGACACTATTCAACCGGGATATTGGATGGCTGAAGGCGGGCAGTCCGCGACTGGAGAGCTCCTCAAATACGTCATTGAGACACACCCAGCCTTCAATCAGGCGGTCTCGATCGCTGAATCGTACAATGCCAATATATACGAATACTTAAACGAACACTTAAAGGAAATGGCGCATGAACAGCAAGCCCCAAGTGTGGCTTATCTGGCACGCCACTTTTTCTTCTACGGTGATCTATGGGGTAACCGCTCTCCGATTGCAGACTCCGAAATGGCTGGCTCCGTGATTGGCCTTTCAAGTAATAAGTCTGTGGATGGGCTCGCTATCCATTATTATGCCACGCTCGAGTTTATCGCTTTGCAGACACGACACATTGTCGAGACCATGAACAAGGCTGGCCATAGCCTCACTTCCATCTTCATGTCGGGATCTCAGTGTCAGAATGAGATCTTGGTTGGCCTCATCGCATCCGCCTGCGGCATGCCTGTCCTTATTCCCCGGTACATTCACGCTGCCGTCTGCCATGGTGCAGCCATGTTGGGTGCTAAGGCTGCCAGTGCAGATGCTGACGGCAAAACAGAAGATCTATGGGAGATAATGGATCGGATGAGTAAGCCAGGGAAGAAGGTAGTCCCAACAGACAATGCGACTGAGAAGGCTTTGCTTGATGTTAAATACAAAGTATTCCTGGAGCAATGTTACAAACAACAAGAGTATCGGACTCTTGTTGACAACGCTGTGAGCTCATGGAAGTCTACTTGAATTTGATTTTATTCAGTTATATGGCGACTTATGTTGCCTTTATTACCTCTCCTGGTGACTTTTCGGAAACGACTGCTTAATCTAATTTCTTCCAAACTGTACACAGGTCCTCCAAGTGGCTTACTGCATTGCTAGATTAATGAACATGAATGGGGTATGGTTATAGGTACAAATCAAGCGCGAATGAATTGAACCCTCGAGTCGCTTTGTATAGGTACACGCCTCCTGGTCTAATAAAGTAGTTGACTAGAATGGGTATTTTGATATCTGAGTACTAATTTCTGTGAACACAGCACATCTATGTTGAAAGTAAATACTTTACAAAACTCAAGCGCCAAGTTTCAATAAAATGGATACCTGCAGCCCTCAGAGCCCTGCGAAACAGCGCATTTATTCGCCCAAAGGATTTGCAATCAATAGGCCATGCCACTCCTTGACCTACCGAGCGTTTTAAATGTTTGGGATGTGCCAAGCGC